CTGGGGCTTCTTTAAAACAGCCTCATCAGCAAGCGTTTCACCTGCCTTTGGACCAGTGTTGATGGTGATGCCTTTACAAACAAACGAGTTTACAGCTTCACCCTTCACAGGCAGTGGTGGAAACTTGGTGGGCCTTGGCTTCTTTGGAGGGTTCTTTACAGTTTTGCATTCTTTCTCCCGAATGTCGGGGGAAAAAAGAACCGCTGTTGATTCTAAGAGCAGGTGCACACACAGCCGAAGAGCAATAATAAGAATGCAGTATCACTGGCCCAACAGAATCTTCTCTATACAACATGTGTGCTCCATACTTTTGGCCTTCATTTTGCACCTCTTTCCAAAGTTCACTTTGAGCCTCGTGTTCTTATGCTGGTACGTCTTGTTTGTGCTGTTTCCTTTGACTTTCACCTTCCAGCTCAGCCTTCCTAAATGCTTTCACAAAGTCAGCAGATCGGGGTCAGCTGAGCGTCCCCTGAGAATTTCGGAGCTCTCATCACTCTGCTAGACAGTGGAAGAGCTTAGCTGCACCACTTGGACCAGGTGCATGGCACGGTCTGAAGGTCCGCTGCCGACCAATCTGCACTCTCGGCCTGCTGGCTGGTGCAGCCTGCTGCCTGGCACGGTGGGGACATGGCTGAGGAGGAGGGCTTGGCTGAAGGACAGGTGATGGAGGAGGAGGCGGGGGGATCTTCAGATCTTCATCTCCAGCAAGACTGAAACGCACCTTGAATGGAACAGCCACACCCTGTACTGTAACGTCCAGCGAGCTTACTTGTGGCCTGGGCACAGGAGCTGCAGCCTGGACATAGGTGGACTTCCTGGAGCTTCTTGGTGGCTGGGGCTTCTTAAAAACAGCCTCATCAGCAAGCGTTTCATCTGCCTTTGGACCAGTGTTGATGGCGAGGCCTTGACAAACAAGCAAGTTTCCAACTTCACCCTTCACAGGCAGTGGTGGAAACTTGGTGGGCCTTGGCTTCTTTGGAGGGTTCTTCACGGTTTTGCGTTCTTTCTCACGAACGTCGGGGATAAAAGAACCGCTGTCGATTGTAAAAGTAGGTACACACACAGTCGGAGAGCAATAATAATAACGCAGTGGCACTGGCCCAACAGAAACTTTTTTATACAACATGTGTTCCTCATAGATCCACTGCTTGTAGCTCTCCTCCATATCTGTACCTCAGAATTTTTCACAGGAGAATCAAGAAAAAGAATTCTGGGGAAGCAGATGTGCAAGTTCTGTTTCTGTTTGATTCTTTTTCTAAAAGAAGAAAAATCGGTGGTGTAAAAGAATGAGTTTTAAAGAACGTGCTGTAAAACAGTGATAACAGTCTGCTCCGACGAAGAGTCAAACGCGTAATGCCGTCTTCTGTGCAGGTCCAGCATTTATATACTCAGCTTCCCATTGTGACGTCATCAGCATGCCCATATTTGCACATAACGCATGAGTCATTGATTACATTATGACCAAATAAGGCAATCAGCCACGATTTTCGTCAGACCGGAACACAAGTGGGCGGGGCACCTGTCAATCTTTTTCGAATCCAAACAATCAAATACAACACTTTCGTTATCAAAAGTAATGACTACTAATTTTGAACGCAGTTTATTATATGTGTGCTATTTTATGTCTTTGTAGCCAAGACAGTTAGCTAAGCAGCTAGTTAGCTAAGCAGCTAATGACGGCTGGCTTATTTGAACATTTGTCAGTCAGCTGATGCTTTTGCAGCCTAAATATACACTCGTATTCACTTTGCAAATAACGTTACTGTATATTTGCTTTGGGACATGAAGAGACCTGTTTAATCATAACCTGCCTCTGCCAACCGTCCCGTAAAATACGGAATCATCCCTTAATAGGCTCAACCAGCGCCCCCCACCTTAAGTTGTACAGCCCCGTGTTAAGTGACTGTAACTCGTACAGTGGATAGAAATTAGATGAAGTTGAAGCAGCGTCTTATTCTCATTTTCCCGTTCCATCTTAAATGATGCTACACTTTCAGACGCATGTTCGGTCGCTAGCGTGCACTATTTAAGGTGGAGCGGATATTTCAGTAGGAAGCTAATATCAGAGAAATTAGCAAATAAAGCGGAACGACGTGGTGCTGCTAACACAGCAGACATACCTCCACTGAGTTTAATAGCTAATTCATACGTGAATTTTGTGAATATGGACAGTAGCGGCAAGAACTGCAGAGAACCAAGGTATGAAAGAGCTAGTTAAGGAGGATGGAGAGATTTCTGAGCAGGTGGGCGGTGAGAAATGCTGACAGGATGTTAAGTTACTCAGCTAACGTTAGCATCGTTTGTAGCGTACTGACTGTCAGGATTGTGTCTCATTTAAGACAAAATCTTTCGTCAGTTTTCATTTGATCACTATCTAGCCACCTTGTGTATCTCAGCATATAAATAGTAATTAAGAGATAAGACTAAGATAAGATAAAAAAATGCACAGATTTTAGCTAGAAAAAGTTAGCTAACCTATGTTGCACAAAGGCAATGTGTGTGTAGCAGGAGAAATACAGTTAGAATTTAAGGTGGGCTGGTCTGCATCATATAACTACCGTTCTGAAGACAAGTCCCACTCCGGTCCTGAGGGTTTGTATAATAATAACATCACATTTTTAACCCCAAATGTGGTTGATAGAGTCCAGTGTTGGGGAAGCTAGTTTGAAAGCATAGCTTTAAAAGCTACCAGTTATTGCAAAAGGTGCCCACTTGGTCACAGGTCATAAAACCAACCAACCATGAATACATACATACATACATAAATAAATAATGTTAAAATACCCCACTATTTATGGGAAAACACATTTTTTATGGCCCACAATTGTTTGTAGTTTCAATGGATAACTACACAAAAATGGCAAAAAAGGAATTTTACTACTTGAATCACTATGTAAATATGAATGTAGTTAAACTACCAGTAAACTACTTCTAATTAGATGTCGTTCACTCCTCCCCAACACTGACAGATGCACTGTGATTCTTTCTACTGTAAAAGTGAAAGTGCATCATATTTATAATATTAATAATAATAATACATATTCAAAGAATATATGATAACCTGTTGTTTTGCACAGTCCAAATAAAATTCTTTAAGGATAATCACACATATTCCTCTTGCTCAAAAATACAAAAGCAATCAAATTCAGGATGGCATGTTTTCTTGTCATAATACATGGGTCTATAGATACATTTCTGGTTATTGGTTAAGCAACCTGCCCACCTAACACACAGACGCACACACACATACACAGACACCCAAAAAAAAGTAGCTTTGCTCGACTCTTCAAACGATCCTCTGTAACTGTAGACAACAGTGTAATATATTATTTTGACTGTACAACCTGTATAGCCACCAAGTAAAGGAAGCAAGATGGCCTGTTTAGTCACTTGAGGCTTGTACTTTTAAAGACAAGACAATTAAATCGTTAACCGCAATTATTCATATCAAAATTCACTGTCAGCTCAAATGTCATGATGGTGATAATCCTGCTCCAACTCATCCCAAAGGTATTGAATGGAGCTCCAACATTTCAGAGAACGCAGATCCACTGCTCCACAGCCCAGTGCAGAGGACTTTATAGCCCTCTAGCTAATGCTTGACATCGGGCATGGTGACCTTAGGTTAATGTGTGGACTCTCTAGAGAATCACTTTTCTATGGTGATTATAAGCTTTGTGTGCGCAACTGAACACCTGTGTCAGCAATGGGTGACCTTAAAGTAACTGTACTCACCAATCAGAAGGGTCGTCGGGATACTTTGAACGTATAGTGTATGCCTTTTTTTTTAACTAGCAATGATGCCCCCTTGCATTCTCCTCATGTAAGAGGATGCCATGAGGAGGGGGCAAAGAAGTGACTATAATTCTTTCACACTTTTGTCTCCATGAATATTTGTGTAACCCTTCCTCCAGTGCCACAGAGGGACACTGAGGACAATAGAGGCTGGAATTAAGAATCATGGCCTGATATGTGTGAGTCAGGTGATCAGCCCTACTCGCAGACTGGACCAGTTTCTCAGGGGTTTTGCCTTTCTGCTCTTTCTGACTGTCCATTGTTCATGCTTCCTCTTGGCTAGTGTGGTCTGCGAGGGCCTGTCCCAATGTGGAGCAGAGTTCTCTGGTTTCAGGCTAATACAGCCTCTCTCATTGGGATTGGACCGGTTCACCTATAACCAAGTCGAAACTCCCTGAGTGTTAAACAGGTTATGCAGGACTGAGAAAATAGGTTTCTCTAATTATGGTATACACAAAACTGACCGCACGTATTTACTGTTTGTAGTCACAAATGATGAGCCACTGATCTTGTAAAATCTTTAGTTTCATGTGTTTGGCGTCCTTGAGCTAATTATTTGTGATAGGATAGGATCATAGTTTTATGGAGTTTATTTTCATTTTCTGAAAAAGATACTCACACAAAAAAGTATTATATTGACAATATTGCATTATAATATATTCTATTTATATTTTGAATACTGATAGCACATAGTATATATTATCTGCATAGGGTAATATCTACTACCCTCCCAATTCCAAAAAGTGGTAAACAAAACTTGTGATCAGTGATGTTTATGATTCTTTTTCAGCTAAAGATGGAACACATCAATGCTCAAAAAAATCACCACAATGACGATACGGCATCTTTTTGTACTTTTCCCTATCCATAAAGGGTAAAAAGATAATTGATTCTAAGATAATTGGCACTTTAAGGGGCTAACCATATTGGCAAGCTCTCAGTTCTGCAGTCATGGTGTTTTTGGTGTACGTTTCTATTTGTTTTTTAAACTGTTGAATGGTGCTGAGTGCCTTAGGGCATTGAGGAGGTGTCACTGGTTTGTAAAATCATCTGGTGTTTTGGTGTTTGTGAATCTGTTCCAGGAACTGTCTTAAAGCAATTGACAAAAACTACAAATAGCATGCAAGCTGCATCTGGTATCTGGAATAATCCGGTTGGCCAGTTCTAGCCAATCAAATCCAGGAGCAGCGCCAATACAAACACCCTGCCCACCTGAGTCTATAAGTGACACCTGCGTTAAGAGCGTCTAAGCCAGACACAGACTGTGACCGTTTGGAAAACGCGAGTGTAAGTCCCTTATATAGACCTTTTTTCCTTCTTCAACCTTCCCTTTGTTTATGTTATGTGCATATATTGTGTATTTGAATTTCCTCAAATTTGTCTGCAAAAGTCTGTTTTTAAAATTCTCTTCAGATGTAATTAGGTATGCTCATGAAAACGTTAAAGAACTAATAAATATGTTATTTCGTTATTAGGGCTATTGACTTATGATAGTAACAGTACAGTAACTGCTATCATAGTAATATATTTGGGCAGTCATTTAGTTTTGTGAAAGAGAGGGGGTGTACGCAGTGTGCAAGTCCACTAATTGCATTCTGTTCACTTTCCACAGTCAGCCCTCACATTCTCCAGTTCTTGCTTTTTCCACCATTGCCACAATGACCTCCAGCCTGTCCACGCGTACGTATTCTGTGGGCCGCCAGCCTTCTTTCTCCAGCCTCTCTTTGCGAGATGGTGCCAGTCGTGGCCGCTCTAAAGCCCCGGTGTCCCTCTCGTCTGCTAGCACGCTGTCTCTCTCCCGCTCTGTCTCCGTGGGCAATGGCCTCAACATCCTGAGTAACCTCTCTCTGAATGGCCTGTCTATGGGTGCCAGCGAGAAGGAGACAATGCAGGGTCTTAATGATCGGCTGGCCAGCTATTTGAACAAGGTGCGCTCACTGGAGAAGTCCAATGCTGACCTGGAGCTGAAGATCAAGCAGCTGATGCTGGAGAGAGCACCTAAAGGTCATGATATTGAGGGCATGATGGCTCAGGCTCATGCTATTGGACAAGAGGTCTGTGCAAGTTTCTCACTTCAAAGCTTAGCTGCATCTTCTTAATGAAATACATTCAGTCAAATAGCAAGAAATATAAGACATTGTAATATTTTTTGCCTATTTCTAGACAACCTTTTACTTGTTTTATATAATTTTACCTAGTGAAATTGTCTTGTGGCTTTAGCTAATCATTTTGCTTTGTATGCAAAAGTTTGAACACCAAATTACATGTTTTGTTGATTTTCAAAGTGAAAATGAATTGAACACAGTCTCTACAGGAAACAAACCTAAATTTTTTCTACAATTTTTAGTGCATTTCTGTTTGTTTATTTCATACAAGTTTATATAAAATAAATATATATTTTATTTTAAACATATATTTATTCAAAATAACTCAGTAACTGTATTAAGATGTGCAGAAGTGTATTCTCTCTGAAAATCAAGAGAACGTGTTGCATATGATTTCAAGAGGCATTGCGTGAAATAAGCTAAATGTAAATTCTTACAACAGTCTCATAAATATTAGATATATTGTCTGGATTGAAGATGATTTCACTAAGATATCATTTTTTTCAGTGAGGGCATACACTTCAATTCCTCACTGCCATAACTGTATAACTTACTAGTTTCTTGTTAGTTACTTTGATAATTTATAAAATTTGCTGAACAGTAAGTCTTAAGATTTAACTGAATAACAAGCCCAGAGTTTAAGGGCTTTATTGGGTCAACATTTAGAAAGCTAACTGGCTGATATTAATTCTCTTCTCTTTAGGTAAGGAAAAAGACCCTGGAGAATGCTCGGATTATGCTGGAAATAGACAATGCAAAGCTGGCTGCTGATGACTTCAGGATTAAGTGAGTGTCCCATAACTTGGCTTTAAAAGAAACAAAAGTTTTCCAGGGAACGCCCTGATGTTGTTTTTGTGAGTGTGTATTATGTGTTTATTCTGTTTCTGTTTATAGATGGGAGGCAGAAGCTGCTCTTTGTCAGTCAGTTGAGAGAGACTGTGTTGCTCTACGCAGAGCAAAATCAGACCATGACCAGATCATCACAACTCTCAGAGGAGATCTGGACAGTCTGAAAGAGGAACTGTTTTTCCTGAAGAAGAATCATGATGAGGTGGTTTATTTAAAAAAATGTATTAGTGCTTAGTACTGTATGAAGTGAATATTATGAACATGGCCCAAAAACTAGTCTAACAAATGCAAATATCTTAAAATGTGCTTCCAGTAATACACTCTTAAATAACAAAGACGCCAAAAAGGGTTTACTGGAGCAATGACTTAGAAGAACCACTTTTGGTTCTGTTAAAAGAGTCTTTCAGTGAATGATTCTTTAAATAGTATAAATACCTGTTTTAAAGAGCCTTCACATAATGTAAACGTTCTATGCCAATGAAACATTTTTTCATAAAGTCAGATGTCAAAGACAAGAAGCTTTTAGTAACCTTTATTATTAAAACTGTAGATAGTCAAATGGTCAGTGTTATGTCAACAGGAGTGGCTTATCCGTATGTGAAAGGAACACTGTTTACATGCTTGTCTTGTCAGTAAAGCAGTGACAGCTGTGGAGCTGTTGATGTCTATTGTAAATGGAAACACCCAGTCCATCTTTTTTTCCCTTTAACTGCTAGCACACACGCACACACACATACACACAAAACTAAGGGACAAAAGTCTGTACCAGAAGGATGGGTGTGTTTTGATAGGCAGGTGTGGTACTCTGGTTATATACACAAGATAGCACTTCACACAGAGCACTGGGAAAGTATATATATTCAGGATGTTTGTTGGTATAATTGCCACTTGTAAAATCTATTACATGTAAACCTATTACGAAATACAGTGCAGTATAGGTGTATAATATATTGTCTCTGTGCAGTATAGCACCTACATATATGGAACCTTAACTTTTATAGCTTAGATTCAGCTTGTGTCAGCTGGTATACTGGCAATGTTTTACAAGCCAAGTGTCATGTCAAAAGCCTGTTTTATGGTACATGAGATGTAGGTCTCAGAAGCTAAAACATACAGTGCATCCCTATATAGAGCAGGGTGTCCAATTTATATACTTTTGTAGTACTGACCAAATTACTTCAGTACTAATGAGTGTTGAAAAATTCTATGTAATGAATGCATTTCAGTACCTAAGTAGTCTTAGACCCCGTTGAATGCTTTAAGCGATTGGATTTGTACCTGTTTTAAATGCGTCTTTGGTGCATTTACTCTTGCATTTATATGTGGCTTAGCCATATCCAGATTTAATCCAGATATGCAAGACGCATATATAAGTAACCAGGTGTAAACCAGGTCTTAGAATCCATCAGCCAATAAGCACGCTTGTTCTAAAATCTAGACTGGTGGTTGTCTGTCTAAATTAACGTCAGCGCTTCTAGTCTGTAGTCCACTGTGGTCAGTAAATATACTCCCTTCTAGCACCTCCCCTCATTTCTGGTTTAAGCCACTTTCTATTTGTTATTGACAAAAAGGTACTGAAAAAAGTATCGTTCAGAATTCATTGTCCAAGTCTAGATATCAGTATTGGCTAAAACATGTAGTATCCTTATAACAAAATATAGAAGCTAAAACATTCTGTAAATCAATGTATATAACTAAAATTTAGAAGGTAAAACACAGTATGTCTCTGTATATAACTAAAATGTAGAGGCTAACACATATACTGTATGTCCTTGTATATAACTAAAACATAGATCTTGGTATATACCTAAGCTTCTGTCTCTCTTTGTAGGAAATGAAGTCACTGAAGGCCCGTTTGGCCAATGAGCAGGTGAATGTGGAGGTAGATGCGGCCCAGGGGCCAGACCTAGGAGCTGTAATGGCTGAACTGAGGGCCCAGTATGAGGGCATCGCTCGCAAGAACAAGGAGGACGCTGAGATGTGGTACCTGAAGAAGGTCGGTAGAAGTGAAAGAACACCTCTTTTTTGCTTAGCATATTCCACAGGCTACACATACAAACTGCTCTTTAGTGTTTGGTTTCATTATTGTTGTCCATAGAGAAACAGTGTGTACAATGAAGGAAAACTCCAGCATTTTTCAAGCTCATCTCTGACGTGTCTGTAATTTATGGTTGATTACCAGAGACAATAATTCTGACCCAGTTGGTGGGTTGAAAAATGCTGGAGAATTCCCTTAGAAAGACATTTATGTTACAAGATCAGTTTTCATAAAAATCTGTGTGTATATGTCAGCTGGAGTCAGTGCAGTCTGAGGTGAAAGAGAGCAATGAAGCTCTGCGGTGTGCTCAGAGTGAGCTCAACGAGAGACGCCGCTTCCTGCAGAGCCTTGAGGTGGAGCTGGATAGTCTACGCAAGCAGGTAAGCTTAAAGATCTTAGACCCTTACTGAGGAAAGGGCACTGCAAATGCACAAAGGCAAAGGTAGAAATACAGTTGCATCATTGTTTTTTAGCTACTATTCTTTCAACTCATTTGTGCTAAACTCAAAATATTAATAAATTAATAAAAAATAAAAGTAATAAAAATATTACTCAAGGTATTTTTTCCCAGGGTAATCAATATGTCAGTAGCCAGATATGCCAGCATGTCAGGACCATGTTGTCTCTTCTTTGTTTAGCTACTCAGGAAGCTACATCTGCTGTTTGCTATGGTCTGTAAGCAGACTTAATTAAGTGTGTTTACTCCCAGCATGATAGTCTATAACAGTTTAACAATAACAAAATAAATGAAGTAGCAGGGCACTGACACTGTATAAACTTGTCAGATGGGACATAGATAACCTCATAAAACATTATATTTGGCCTTTACTTTCTGGATATCAGGTGACATGTTGTGTATTGTGCACAGTCACCATCTCTCATCATTATATTTATCTAATAAGCCCTTGAGACCTCCTGCACTCAAAAATCATTTATTTTAAATGGTTAACTCATCTCAGATTGCTTCTTAAGATTATACATTGGTATCTGGGTCAAATTTCTTAAAATGCTGCCAGTTTCGCATTTTTCCTTTGGCACAAGAGCGTTTCTCAGTACTTTCAAAAAGTGACAGGTGGGATGTGATATAGTTCATGTATATATATATATATATATATATAATATATATACATGAACTAATTTTTTGACATCACAAAATAGGCTTGAACCTATCGTGGCCCAATGTACTAAAAATGCTAAACAGATAGCAATGATGTGGTAACCACAAACTTTCCAGTTTGCATAATCATGCATATTTATAAATCTTTGCCATTTTCATAAAGGTAAAGAGATACTCCTAGGTCATTTTTATGTTAATGTTGTGTACACTTTTAGGTTCTTGGGCAAAAGATTATTTAAAGAGCTTCTACATGGAAACCCAAAATTTCCAAGTTAGCAAGTTTGATATAGTATGTAAACGCTATTACATTTTCAAAATGTACATGGAGATTCACTTGAATGAGGGCCCCGAATGTTCTGTTGTAACTCCTGTTAGGATGAAACAATCAGAACCAAAAAATACGCTACATAACTTGACGTATGTGTTATCAATTGTATTACATGCGATGCTGGAAGTGATCTCCGTTTTCTGCCAGACACATGAAGGGGTGCAGGGTTATGCAACCTGAAGTTGCAAACAGAGGTTAAACGTCGCAATGGCTATCCGGTGCCTAGTTCATCGCTCTAACGCAGGGGCATCCCGGCTTGTTCGAAGCACATTGCACGTTGTTTCGTTCAGATTGCTTCATCCTATCGAGAGTTATTACAGAATATTCAGGGCCTCTTTCGAGTGAATCTCCCTGTACCATTCATTGCCCAGTCAATATGGTCCATAAGTGGAAATTAAGCAGCAAAAACAGCTCATGATTGAATTTGTTTTCATGATGACATGTAGACCAATGCATTTACATATATTCACTTATTTAACCTACAGCAGTTTAGCCTCTCCCATTCACAGTTATTAGGAGTGTTTCAGACTGAGCTGCTTTTTTTACAGGACATCCAGTCAGAGAACAGAGGTCATTTACAAATATCAGTTTTCACAGCAAAGTAAAAAAAAAACAGCATGCATAAATCAAAAGGATATGGAGAGTTTGGAAAGTGGTCATGTAGAAATTAATTATGAATTATGTTTTTGGTACATAAACATCATAAGCGGACTTTAGGGAAGTAATAAAAAAACAGTGTATATTTTAAAAAATATATTTTTCAACAGCATATTTTTTATAATTGTTTAAATTACATCTGTAATTTGGATCACATCCTGTGGCTCTCTCCAGGTTGGCGTTTTGGAGGGGAACCTCGGAGAAACTAATCATAAGTATGCCATCGAGATGGAGCACATGCAGGGCACTCTGACACAGCTCGAGGATGAACTCTCACAACTACGTCTGGACATGCAGCGCACCAAAACTGACTACGAACAGCTACTGCGCGTCAAACAGAACTTGGAGCTGGAGATCGCCACCTACAGGAGGCTGCTGGAAGGAGAGGAGGTGTAAGTGCTCAAAGCAGAAATTTCTCTGATTAATATGAAGGTAAATGGAGATAATGTCAGAGGAGTGTGCAGCTCTGAACTGGAATCACCTTTGTTTTATTTTTGTGTTTTAGGGTAAAAGAGATCGCAGCTCCTAAAAGTAAGTCCTCAAGCAGCTCCACTGCAGAGAATTTAAAGGGCCCATAAAATGCATTCCAACTCATTATCATTTCAGTGTGAATAGGAGGGCTAAATTGCTCTCAGCTGAATAAGCAGTCATATGTAGGTGTTCATGGTTGTGATATCATAAACATGATGAATTCAAACAGGTTGTTAAAGATTAAAGAATTTTGAATCTTTAACAGTGTTCTCAGTGTACATTAAACGGGTTGTTCATTGTTTATGATGTGGATCCTTTAAATCTACTAACTTCTTTGTGAAAGGTGTGTTCATGTCTTTTTTCACATAGCCTTTTGTGTTTTGTAGAAGAGCCTGAGGTAAGAACACGGAAGATTGTGAAGGTGGTCACCCAGACTATGGTCAATGGCAAAGTGGTGGACGAATCCAGTGAGGTGGAGCAGATTGAGGAGCGCAAGAAGTGAGTCCTGCGCTCCTTCATTACCTCTCAATCAGGTCCTCGAGCCATGTCTACATGAAAAAAACATTAAACACCTCTCACACAATGTTTCTACAGCTCATTGGTGACATTAGACTTGGTCACACCATCTCCAGAATCAGTGCAAAATATGACCAATAACATTACTATTACTAGCAAGACATCATCTGTGGAATTTGTTTATTGTTTGGATGTGAAGTAAATAAACATACTTATGTTTGAGATTGCTGTGCTGTGTCAGGTGTCTAATTTTCCTCTATAGATATTATTTTATTAGTTACTAGCTAATTACTATTAGCTAGCCTAAAATAGAAACAGGTATATACTTGTGTTGTGGTTTTACAATGTACTTTTCTTTCTTTTATTTTTACAGGTTTGATGCATCCCGGAGTGTAATTCTAGAGAGGGTCATTTAAACATAGCAGAAAGCCAAAATATTCAATATTCAGGATAAAAACACTTACTGCCCTATATCATGTGGTGTTAGATTGCGCTACCATGTAGTGTTAGATTTAAAAACAGGGACAGAAACCAGTCTGGTCAGAGGCCACAATGTAGTGGTGATGGAAACTGAGCACAGATACAAAACCCCAGCAGCTCTGTGAGAACAGAGGGAGCAAACCAGCCTTGACACACAAACACAGTGGTTTCAAATGTCAGTTCTTTTGTGGTGGTTTGTGAATGAACGACTCTCCCTAGCCATTCTCCCTCAGGTTATGTTGTTGTGTTGAGGCTTTATCCAATGTGGACACCATAGTAATTTTACTGATTAGTGGATTTCTACCACTAGCTCTAACTCTTTCTTGCCAACCCGTGAAGGACAGGATAATGGGACAGACGTGTTAATGTCATGAGCATTCCTGTGCATGTTATGGGTCATTTTATTATGTAAAAGTAGGATCATGTATCACACAGGGACTTTTCCAGGACATTGTTCTGCCAAAGTTGGAGACCACAGAGATCAAAACGGCCATTAAGTACAAGTTATTAATTTTTCAGAAGGAATTTCTGAAGAGATCAGATGTAAAATAATCCACTCTTATAAGACACAGGAAAGTCAAAATAAAATATGTGAAAAAAAAACGTAGTGGAATTCACAGCAAATTAAAATGCAATCAGTACAGTCGAAAAACATGAAATAAAACACGCACTTGACATTACTTTTCAGTAGTGACATATGGAATGCATGCCAAAATGAAAAGCTAAACCTCTATTATATTGTTTTCACATCACTTGACCTCTTTACTGAAAAACAGCAAATCAGGGCTTGCATTTAAAAAACATAATGCTGAATTTGCGGCAGAATTTAATAGAATCCACCTTGAAATGTCATCAGCACACTGCTATATCGCTTCCTGCCATGCAGAAATACCAAACATATATGCCTCATTGAAATGCAATCATAACAGTAATAAAGTGAAACACAATACACATATGAGATTGTGACATATGAAACAGTGACATTTGGAAAACACACCAAAATGAAAAATAAAAGATGCATTATTTTGATTTAACATCTCTTAACAGAAAAACAAGATATGTGCATCTGCATTTGAAAAACATGCTGGAGCTGTGTCAGAAATAAACACAAAACCACTTTTACTCAGTCAACTCACTATGTTGCTTCCCACTGCGTGGTGCATTCAGTGTGTTACCCATGCAGTGTCTTATATACATCACTGCGTTTCAACAAAGCAGTGAGGTATTCCTTCCACAATGAAAACCACCACAGCCACTGAATTTTGAGCATGGCTGAGAAACCAGTCAGAAGTAATTGATTGTAGCTGTAATGCACAGAAGATGTCCTTTCAAAATATAGTTAAAGAAGTACATGATATAATACATGAGAGGTACATGAGATAATAATCTTAACCTTGATGAATAGTGAACTACACTTCTGACTAGGATGGATATTTTCAGGTGCCCTGCTCACTGTTGGACTGCTCAACCCTGAAGCTGTTCCAAAATGGACTCTAGTACATTTTTTGAATCTGCTGACAGTGAGGACCTGTCCCATGTTATCTAAACTCTCAGCTTTGAAAAGCATATAGTTGTAACTGCACCATCCTCAACTTGAAGAATTAGAGTGTTTATTTTTCCTAAAAACCGTGTAAGATCTGGTAGACCACCAAAACTGTCACCATTACAAATACAGTACTTAAAGCTTTCAACTTTGAGAGAGAGGAGAAAATCAAGCTCCACTCTTACTTCAGATCTAAAAAAATCCACAGGTCAACAATCCTCAACACTATGGGTCTGAAAGGATGTGTAGCTGTCAGGAAGCCCTTACTGAGAAAAAGAAATAGACAAAAAGAGAAAAAAAGTAAATTAAACAAAGAAGCCTCTGGTGTTCTCAGAACAATGGATTGTCCACTACAGAGTCCAGACCTCAACGTCACTGAATGTGAATGCGATTGGGATTACTTAGATTGTGAGAAGCAGAAAATGCAACCAACCTCTGAGACTAAACTTTGAAGTTGGGTAAAATATCCCTACAGATTTCTTTGAAAAGGCAAAAGGAGGACAAATTAAATATTGAAAAAAATCATTTTACATTTAGTCGTTGAGGCTTCTGTGTAATTTTCTGTTAAATGAATAACATACATTTTTGACATTTTGACTTTGGGTGGCCTCTGACTGTTGCACAGAAACATAAATTGACAAAAAAGTTTCTAAAATATATTTTGTCTGTGTGTTTCCTTGTAAGCCATTTTGAGCTGATACACACTGCATTCACACAAAGAATAACAATGAACAGCAGCTTTGAGTAATCTGAGCTAAGAGGTCATCGGGGAAAATCTGAATGACTTAAACCAGTAACCTACTTACGGGAAAGATGGTCTGACACAATTTAGCATCTTCTATGAGGTGATGAAAAGGGTGACAAACTGGGTTATGCAGTAAGGTTCCCCCAGGGTATTCCTGTAAAGCTGGGGTAAATTCAATACTCGCTCTCACCCTCACAAAGAACAGCTCACAATGGACAGTTTTTTCAGTGTCAGAAACAATCTAAAGAAGCTGCTGGAAAATAAATGCTGCACTTAATTGCAGAGTGTCAATGTTAAATTAACTCTCACAAGTAGTTAAAGAAATGCTGCATCTAAATAGGAAACTAATAGTGACATCATGCATCACCAAGCACATATTTGCATAGCAGTGGAGTATTTTTGTCCCAATGCTGAAACAAGACGATGTACTATGTCAACTATTATAACAATTATAACCATTATAACTATACCATACCATCAGGAAAGACTGCAGACCTGCAGGCTATGGAAAATAAAAACAAAACAAACAAACAAAAAACAGGACTAAAAGTCCTCTATAACAGTCATTTATGTGAGGCTGCCTCCTGATTCCTTCATTAATATGAGGCTGAGGGTGCCCCCTGATGGATAAACAGGTGGAAAAACTGAAATGGACGATTTTTTCTTGGTCATATATTATTATTATGTTTTGTTGTTGTTGTTTTTTAAATAACACACATTTGAAATATTACACGCTACAATATTTTCTCATATACTTGACTTTCGATATAACGACTTAATATTCCAAGAGAATTACACTCTCGACATTTCATAACATCATTTCGAAATGGTATGTCAAAATTTGATACGTATAAAAACGAGATAATAACTGAATATTGTGGGAATATTTCCATAGAAGTAAAAAATATATATTATTTTGAGTCAAATGTTTCCATACTGCTTCAAGACACAGAGAAAAAAATGTGTTTTGGGTTTTTTCCATAATAATCAAACAAGAAAGCCCTCAAGCTTTCACTGCTAGACATGTTTGAATTTTTTTACATTCTGTATACTTTTTTTTTGTCCTGCGAAAATTATTCGTTGTATAAGAGGTGAATAGATGCCTTGTTTGTGTGTATTTGTTATATCTAATCCGTAAAAAGTATAAATAAATAAACCGATATTAAAATGAACTGAATCCAGTGTAGCGGTCTCGTTCCTGTCTTCGGCTCCGCCCCTTCCGCCGCTCTGGAGCTGATTATGACAGAAGCTTCTCCCTCATTCCTCCAACAAACGGTTCGCTCTTACTCTTATCTGTGCTCCAGCGTCTCAATCAGATGCTCATTCTGTTGTTTTTCTCTGTATTGCCGCTCAGCTCAGGTGCTCATCGAGCTCTTATTCATCTAGAAGGATAACCGCAACAAACCCTGCTATCCAGCTAACTGGCTAACGGTTGATGTGTTGTATTGCGGACTTTTCCGCGTAGTGTTTGTTAAGCTAAGTGGCGAGTTTAATCACCGACATGGACAAGCTTTTATACAGACCGTCCATTTAATAAACGAAGTAACAGAAACAGTTGTAAACACTTGGTCCGATTTTATAAGCTGGGGGATAGCTGGCTAGCTAGCTGCTTGTTTGTTATCGGAGTGATTGTTCTTTGTCTTGTTTTGTTTTGATCACGTTTGGTTAGCCTTACGTAAAAGCGTCCACGCATATTGACACGTACGCCGTTGTTTCAGTGATGTTACATGACTAATAAAACACACAGGTACTGCTGTTAGTGTTATTGAACACTTGATGCTGGAACCTTTGCGAGAAGGTGGCTGTTGCGGAGAGATTACTGGGAATAATAATGGAAAAACTGATAGAAATGTATTGGCGGTACAGGCTGTAATTAACGTTAAATGCTTTTACTTCGTAGTCCCAGATGTTAGGTACCCCTGCAACTACTTTTCTCCCATAACAAGCCTGACTGAGCTAGACAGACTAGCCCTTCTGGAGCTGCACCGATCAGCTATAACATTAAAACCTCGTTTCTACACTTGTTCTTTTTATCAGCTCCACTCACCGCACAGGTGCACGTTGTAATTCTGTAATTAGACACTGTAGTCCATCTGTTTATCTGCATACTTTGTTAGCCCCCTTTCACCCTGCTCCATGATGATCAGGACCACCACAGAGCATGTATCATTTGGGTGGTGGGTTATTCTCAGCACTGCAGTGACGCTGACTGCGTTAGTGGTGTGATAGTCTGTGTTGCGCTGGTACGAGTGGATCAGACACAGCAGTCCTGCTGTAGTTTTTAAGCACTGTGTCCACACACTGTCCACTCTATAAGACACACCTACCTTGTTGGTCCACCTTGTAGATGTAAAGTCAGAGTCCTTCATCAGTGGTCCCAAGATGCTGCCCACAGGATGCAGTTGGCTGGATATTTTTGGTTCTCAGTCCAGCAGTGACACTGTGGTGTTTAAGAACAGCACCGCTGTGTCTGATCCACTCATACCAGTGCATTTTAATTTGAATGTTGTGGCTGATCTGTGTATCTGTACAGTGTGGGACACTAACATAAAAAAAAACTGTCGTTGCATGGATCAGTCCATTCGTTGCCTCAGTTTTTTTTAGAGCCCCTTTTTTTCATGTTAAAAGGTCTGCCTGGCCAAAATAACCAATAGTTACAAAATCATGTAATCTGTGCAGAATATTCCATAACAAATAACATTTAAATGCTAGGATATAACATGCCAAATAACATGTCAAATGATAGGTTAAGGCTGGAACACCACTTTAAAATAGCTACCTAAGATTATTTGGATGCAAGATTAAAAGGAAATAGCAATGCAGTAACACATACATGCGTGAGACTGGGAGTTTTGTTGTGTGTTTGACATAATGTTTCAGGGATGCCTTTAAAACTAGCTGTGGTATAGAAAGTGAATCCTGCCCCATTAGAGTCATAAAAATCTCACTGCAAATAACATACAAAGCAACACTTAAAGAATATGAAAATATCTTTTACAGTATGAATGACTAATGCACCTGCGCCTTTTCAGGTGAACCATGGCGCAGGACGGTGTTATTCTGCAGTTCAGCTTCGCTACATTTGGGGACTCCATGCTACAGAAGATGGATGCTCTCCGAAGAGACAGGCGCTTCTGTGATGTAATCGTCCGCATCAACGACTTGGAGATTCCTGGTCACAAAGTCGTGTTTGCCGCTGGCTCTCCGTTTCTCAGAGACCAGTTTTTCCTTCAGGACTCGCATGAAGTGGAGATATCCACGCTGCAGGATGCAGAAGTTGGAAGGAGACTCCTTCTTTCCTGCTATACAGGGACACTTGAGTTCCCTGAGCTGGAACTCGTGCATTATCTAACAGTCGCCAGTTTCCTACAGATGGGTCATATCGTTGAGCAATGCACACAAGCCTTGAATAAATTCATTAAGCCTCACAAGGTTGATGGTACCCATCACTCTCATCAGCCTACCAACGTAAACACACACCAGCAAGACCCACCACTTATTGAGACGGTGTACGATGATGAAGATGGAGACAACGAGATTGAAGATGACAACGATGATGACGTGATTATTGAACCGAGGTCTCCTCCTATGTTTAGGAATTCTCAAAGGAAGGGTCAAGGAGAGGAAAGCCCCATTAATATCATAAAGGTGGAGTCGGTTGAAGATCGGATGCAGGAGATGTCTGAAAGCTACCAGAGTCGACCCTCTCGTTCCCCCACATTACGCTCCCCAGAGCCACAGCATTCCCTCATTAACTCGACCGTGGAGACGCGCTCTGCTGAGATGGCTGCAAACCCTGGGCTCGAGTATCCGCTCTCGTCTCCTGGCCCCAGCGGCTCAGGGAAGGAGAACGTTTGGAGCTGCTCAAGAAGTTCCGACAAAAGCCTTCAGTGGTACCACCAGTGTCCGAAATGCACCCGCGTCTTCCGGCAGTTGGAGAATTATGCCAACCACCTGAAGATGCACAAGCTTTTCATGTGCCTTCTCTGTGGTAAGACTTTTACGCAGAAGGGAAACCTGCACCGCCACATGCGCGTGCATGCCGGCATCAAGCCATTCCAGTGCAAGATCTGTGGAAAGACTTTCACGCAAAAGTGCTCACTTCTGGACCACCTGAACCTGCACAGCGGGGACAAACCGCATCGCTGCAACTACTGCGACATGGTCTTCGCACATAAACCTGTCCTCCGCAAACATCTGAAGCAGATCCATGGCAAGAATAGTTTTGACAATGCCAATGAAGGTAGCATGCTTGAAGGGTTTTAGGTCTGTAATGACTTTGTATGGCCTAAAGACTTCAAAGGACCACCGACCTGAAAACCAACTTGTACATATATCACAGGCCAGTGGTTCTCAATTGTGGTCCTGGAGTACCACCGTCCTGCGCATTTTAGAGTTTCCCTGGCTTCCAGCACTCCTGATAACTAATGAACAAGCCTTCCTGAGGCAAACTGAGGGTGGTAGAGCAGGAAAATTACTACAACATGCAGGACAGTGCAAGATTGAGAACCACTGTCATAGGCCCTATATGCATACTAATGGTCAATATTTACCATCATTTGAATTACATTAGGCTGTATTGTTGTCTGGTTGATAATTGTACTGTATTCAAAGGCTGCTGTGTTTTTAGTCTCGTTAATGAATGAATTTCTCTCATAAGTACTATTTGGATGGGTTTAATTTTATATTGGGAGGTGCGGCATCTCTGTGATTTTTAGATTTTTAAATTTTCTGTGTTATGTCCGAATTCCTCATATCAGTAACTTTTTACAGACCGTGAAGACTTTAACTTCTATTAGGCAGCTTTCAACTCTTATTAAATTAACAGAACCTTTTATTTTTAGAGTTTTATCAGTACAATGCAAATTGGTATGTTGGTAAATATTATGATAAAAAAGGTTAATTTTTTCTGTATAGAGGCACTCAAGGTAATATTTACTTGTATCCTGCAGCCCAAAATCAAGCTGATTAATATTAGCCTAAAGTGTATATCACCAAACATTAGAAGCTGTAATATGACATTAAAAATAACCTCCTGTAATTTGATTTTATATGGTTAAGTTGATGGTTGTCTGTAAACTTCATAACTCAAGCCAATTGTAATGATGTACTGCATTCTCTAAAGGCAGCTAGCAAGGTAGGTAAATTAAGAAAAATGATGATACACGTTCAGAGATTGCTTTTCCCCCCCTATGTGACACATGTCCTGTGGTAACATTGCTTCAGAAAACGTTTCCTGTCCACATAGTACTTTAGAACAGAGAGAAACATCAACTGACCTAGCTTTAAAAGATTTCCTTTTGTCAAAATACGCATGAAAGCCTGAATCATCACTAGTGTAACATTCTCCTAGTCATCTGTTAAATTCAAGCATTGTTCTTTAACTCCACCAGTGAGGTAGCTTGTAAAGTTGTGATACATTTATGAATTGTAATGAATTTATTATTTAAAAAATATCCAAGTGAATTTTATTTTATTATATCCATTTGCACTAATAAATGGGTTTTATAAACACAAAAATGTAATCTACCTCTTTTGCACAATTAGAGTAAAAAGAAGACTGTAGCATATGACACATGACTCACTAATATATGTAAGGAACACACCAGAAGGAAAACAGAAAATAGAAGGGTTATAATTGCATGCATCTTCCAAACTTAAATTTCATTTAGACCATTAGTGTAAAACGTTCAGTCAATATCAGTCACTTCAAAAGAGCAGTCTGTTTATTGATTTCCTTCCCATCTCTTACAAATAACCGGACATGTTGTGGTGACCGGACACTACCGTGGGCACATAGCGTGTCGACCTCCGTCCACTGGGAGATTAACTCCAGTAATGAAGGTTGCAGCGTCTGATGCAAGGAAGGCAATAGCATGAGCCACTTCCTCCACGTCACCTGGTCTGCCAAGGGCATGGGTGACTTTGCACTTTTCAAGGAACTGAAAAGAATAACAAAAATTAAATTAACAGTGTTGTGGCAAAAAGGCAGCCTTTTTCTATACTGTTAGTTTTTTTTCCTTTGTTGGTCAAACTGTCATTTTGAGCAAGCAAACAGAAATGGAAATGTAGTTCTTGGTCCAGTCACGTTCTATGTTGCTGTGATGAAACAATAATATGCTCTAAACAATCTAAATTATGTTCTGAATATGTGCATACATTCACTCAAACTGCCACAGCGCATTGAACAATAAAGGCAGTTTATACAGTAAAGGAAAATACAGTAGCACACAGAAAGCTCCAATTCCAAATGATAATCCATTTTACTGCCCGATCATGCAGCCCAACTACTCTGGAGGCAGTTTTAATTAATTAAATCTGTTCGAGTTAAGGGCATATCGCCAAAGTATCTGTATGTATCGCCGATGATACATTAGCTAAGGTTAAGGGGTTAAGATGGGTGTCTTGTCTGATGTAATTAAGCATCCCAGCAGGGAAACCCCAGTGCAGAGAACATTCAATGCAAACATTTCTATCCAACCTTACCTGTTTATACTGTTCCTCATCCAGCCCTGCACGTTTGTGGACCTCTGTAACGATAACTCCTGGGCTGTAATAGAATAGAGAGCACAGACATCATGAACTCATGTAACAAAGCACAGAGACACTGAGATGTCGCAATGCCAAAACGTAACTGTGCATTGTGGAACTGCGTTGTTTAAACACAGGTTTGCCCACAGCCCACTCCAGCACATTTATGTCATGTGCCACACTGCTCCCACCTTCCAGCTCTAGTCTCAATAACAGATTATGCTACACCTGAATACAGTCATTTTTTTTAATTCCCATTTTGTCAAAGTATTGTGAATCAAAATTTTATGTATTTTTAAACCTCTATTTAATAATATAAACAAAATGCAACTTACCAAACAGAGTTAGCACGCACTTGCTTGGGTGCCAGCTCTAAAAGATACATTGGATACAAATATAACCACAACTGCAAATGGTACAATATTTACATATTTCAAATTTATTTGTGACAGATAAATAGAAATGTTTTTCTCACCAAGTGCTATACAGCGTGTAAACTGGTCGATGGCAGACTTCGACATACAGTAAGCGAGCACTCCTGGAAACTTCAGTATAGAAAGGACCAAAAGTTGGAATGACTACACAACATTCTGTCTTTTAAAAGAATTAAATCCAATGTGGAAAAACAACTATCAATTTCTGAGAGAAAATGCACGCTTACTGATCGTTGGCCATTAACACTGGACACGTTTACGATAGAGCCCTTTGTTTTTATGAGGTATGGGACACAGAGGTGAGTCAGATGATACACTGATCTGAAACCCATGAACAAATGCAGGTTTAAGTCAACATGCAAACTCTTGATCGAACGGTCAAAGGAAAAACAAATGTTAAATCTTACCTGACATTGACATTCATCACCTGATCATACTGTGCCATGTCTGTTGTCTCTATAGTGCCCATGGCAAGGATTCCTGCGCTGTTGATGAGGACATCCAGCCGTCCAAAGTGAGCAATGGTCAATTCAACAGTCTTCTTCACTGTTTCCTCATCTGTCATGTCTCCTGGTACCAAGAGTGGCTGCCAACATATACACGTGTATAAACCCACTATATGACTCGGCTTAAAACACTTACTTGTTTTTACTGGAACATGTGCCAGATTACACAGTAAACTCAGGTACTAAACTGTCACTGGGGTGGTACCATCAGGAAACATTTTCAGTACCTTTTGTTAAAGAAGATAATTGTAACATATTCTCTTGTGGAAACAATATGCAGTCAGCAGACTAACACAAATTGTGCATGGAAAAAGATGTACACTCACAATGCAGGTGTGTCTAATAAAGTGGCCAATATGCATATGACAAAAAAGGTCCCACTGTGTACCTTAAGTAGTTTTAAAGGAACACTGCATTCACTTATCCAAGGGAAACCTGTTGCATAATTTGTATATTTCCATAAGTTTTTTAAAATAGAAAACTAAAATGCAAAGCCTGAAGTTAGGACAGAGTGTATGGAGTCAACAAACTGTGGTACAATATTCCCTAACTAAAGATAGTGAAGACATAGCTTTCATGAATAGAGTTCAATGTTATCCTGAAGTCTCATAACGGGACCTACAGGTAGCTCTTGCCACAGTTGATGTCAAAGTGCATGCGTCTACAATCAGGAAGAGACTGCACAAGTTTGATTTTTATAGAAGGTGCACAAAGAGGAAAGCTTTGCTGTCAAAAAAAAAAAAACCTCAGGGCAAAACTAAAGTGTGCCAGAGAGGTTTGCCACCTAGACAAAGACCAGGACTTCTGGAACAATGTGCTTTGTGCAGATGAATCCAAAGTTGAATTATTGGGGCACAGTAACATAAGACGTGTGGCACAAACCAAACAAAGCATTTAAACACAAGAACCTCATACCAACTGCAAGCATGGAGGTGGAAATGTCATGGTTTGGGGCTGCTTTGCCGCAGCAGGGCCTGGCAAGCTCTATACTAAAATATTCACTTTGAATTTTTTATTGTATCAAAGGGTGCTTGAGGAAAATATGAGACCATCTGTCCAAAAACTGAAGCTAAAAGCAGAGATCTACCATGCAACATGACAATGACCCAAAACATTCTAGTAAATCCACCAAGGAACGGTTCAAAAGGAAGAAATGGGGAGTTCTGGAAAGGCCAAGTCAAAGATGAAATGCTGTGGGGTGATTTGAAACAGGCTGTGCATACAAGAAACCCCTTAAACATCAAACAGCTGAAAAACGTCAAGGAGGAGTGGAAAACCATCTAATTAAATTAAACATCTAATCTAATTAAAAATCTAATTATTTCAGCCAGAGGAGAAATTACCAGCTATTAGGGCATAGGGTGTTCCTCAGAAAGAATAGGCATCTTTTTTATTTTTGTTAAATAAATTATATGAGTCATTTTTTCATTGTTTTTGCAAAGGTGATACAATTACACCACCTTTATTTATAGGCATTGTTTAAAGATGATCAAATATTGATATGTCCATAAAAAACTAAATATTTATTTAGGTGTCCTAATTTTCTCACATGACTGTATAATTAAATTTTTTTTTTTCCCTATTTACTTATTTAATTTAACAAAAAAGTAATTTTAACCTGTGCCCAGCCTGTGTATGTGCAGCCCTGTTACAAAAACCTGGTACATTCCATCAGATGAGTAAGAATTCTCATTCTGTTTTCTCAATTTACACACAAAAATGTATTTGGATGCATAGATTAAGCTTGATCGTTCAACTATGTTACTGACATTATTGTTAGGAAAAACAAAATATGTATGTATATATATAATTTTTGATTAGCGAGAAAAAAAGCTTTGAAGTATTATATAGGAAATATAGGAAACACAAGAAAACATTGCTAATAGGGTTAACAGCTCATATAGTATCTGATTTGACAGTCTGGTGGGAACATAACATTTTCAAACACGCCAAAGATAAACGTACGTTTGACGAGTTTCGAGGCCTAAAATTAACTCTATTCGTGGAAATTGCCAGTACTTATTCCTGAACGTAGTGTTGTCCCTTTCTATTGATGAATGGCAGGTTGTGCAGCCACAGATGGGCGACAGTCAGTAACTGTAAACCTACAAGGGGCACCGATATGCAAGGTGTTTCTGATAAAATGGCCAGTGAGTGCAGGTATAAGGCGAGCATGACGGACCAACCTTAGATGCACCACAATCTGCACATTCTTTGGCGATTTTGGTGAGGTTCTCCACGTTGCGACCATTCAGTGCCAGCTTGGCACCAAGCTTGGCGAAGAGCACCGCAGTGCCAGCTCCGATCCCAGAGCTGGCTCCAGTGATCAGCGTGACTTTATCCTTCAGTGAGCTCACCTAGACAGACGAACCACCACATTTAGCGCCACATTATCCTGACATAACCCAACATGTCATGCACCAATGACGGGATTACTTAGTTGGCTACCTATTTGATTGGAATTTTGCCGTTCCACCTTAAACGGTTACAGTCCGGCCATTTAAGATTTAAGGTGGAACGGGAAAATTCGAACAATCAGCTGATCAATAGGAAGCCGACTTCAGCTTCGTCTTTGCAGCTGTACTGAACTGCATATACACGGAGTTTTCATGTTGACCTGACGTCTCGCTGCCTCTCTAGCACTTCTGCAAGTCGACCTCAAATGTCTGGGCTACAGTAATTGACCCCAGCGCTGGTTTGCACACAAGTTGAACTTACTTTAAAGGCGTCCGCCGATGCCATTGCTAAATGTAATGTTTTAATAGCTCCTCACCAAACTCTTCACGTGCTAGATAAACGTCACTGTAGAATCAGAGCGCCAGAGTGGGCGTGGCCTAGACGCCCAACCTCTCAAATTAATAAACCAACCTTACAAATTAATATTAAATGTTAATATTTTATGTATTTTAAAGTGTATACAAACATCCACTAATAAGACCAAAATAAAGACAACGCTTTCTGTGCTATGTTGCGAGATTTCAGAATAAAAGTCTAAAAAGTCATATATGTCAAAATAAAAGTACCCCAATCAACGCAAGTCTGAAGTCACCTGCATATTGGAATTGCCTTACTAACAGTATAATGGACATCATCACGTTTGTTGGTGGAAGGACTTAAGAACAAGACTCCACTCTTAGTTTACTCCACTATATTTTCTTTTTTTTATGTAGACTAGTGAGAATCAGTATAAATGAACAAAAACATTAAATTGTAAGTCTGCACAAACTCTGTCCATTGATTTACTTTTCAAATTACAGACGTTTTGAACAGAAAAACAATTAAATGATTACAAACAAAAATCAACTAAAGAAAAAATGTAACAATGTAAAATACACAATATCACAAAAGTAAAAAACATTTGCAAAGTATTCTGTACAGACATTAAACTCCATCACGAGTATGACATCATACAACAGTAATGAATTCATACAAGACTATTACTGTCGGGCACAAACCACCTCCTTAGTCCGTAAAGATGAACACCGTTAACCCGCAAATGGATTTGCGTGAACAGTAATATCCTTAATGCGGACATCGTTCAAAGGCCGAAAATTCTTCTCATTGACAGGGAGCTTCTCCAGTTCGTCTAGAGTTTCCAAGCCATCTATTATTCTAAGCAAGCAATACAAAGTTGATTAGTGGTTGGTTGAAGAAGCTGTCCTAATCAGCCTGCTACTGTGGAATTTCAATAATTTTTTGCAAGTAATTTTAACCGATAAAGTGTATGCACAATTGCTTTTAATGCTGAAATGTTTCAATTTGTGTTTAAAACGGTTACTGCAAAAAATAAGTCACTGTTGAAAAAAAATACTGTTCTTTTTTCAAGTAATGAGGAAACTGCCCACCAAACAATTTTAGACTTTAATACAGTAAACAAAAAAAAAATACATACTTTCCAAACACAGTGTATTTCATATCCAAATGAGGTTGCTTGGCGTAGGTGAAATAGAACTGAGAGGCGTTGGTGTTTGGTCCACTGCTTGCCATTGCAACCACACCCCTGACATTGTGCTGAACAAAAACAAAAATGAGTCAGTTTACACAAGTGGCTTCTTAATATCAATACTTTTGTGTGTGTTCGTGTATTTTTTTTTTGATACCTTTAAATGTTCGCTAAATTCATCTTCAAACTTCCGTCCCCAAATACTTGTTCCACCTTTGCCTGTGCCTGGGTTAAGATCAAGACATGGACAACAAAGCAAAATCACTGTTTTACAGCTGTCTTTGATTTTATACACCGAGTTACTAGTTTTTGGATACACTTAAATTGTATTTACAGTCATTAGCTATTTGATCAGAAACACCTACCATATAGGTGCACTTTGTATTTTTGCAATTTATGACCATTGTGCACGAAGGAACCACCTTAGGACCACTGCACAGCAGTGCTTCTAGGGTTTTTAAGCGCCACACTGTGTAAACTATCTGGCCACTTTATCACACATTCCTACCTACCTTTATTACCACATTCCTAGGCATCATAGGTGTGCAGTTTGAGACTTTGGCTTATTTTATTCCACCCAAATTGTGTTAGCCCTCCTCTAGCCATCATGTGTCAAACACGAGCCCCGCCGGCCTAGTCAGGCCCATGGCACAATCCTATCGGCTCACGATTATTATATTATTTTATTATATAATAATATTAGCCTGTTTCACAATGCACAGCACTACACCCCCAGCATGCAATGCAATGTAATGTGTGCTCCGACCCACCTCCTCGGCAACAATCTATAGAACAGGGGTTACACTACAAAAATCATATCTCCTGGGGGCCTTTGAAGAGGCTTAACAATTACATGCAGTTTTAATGCACGCACACACACACACACACATATATATACACACACACACACACACACACACACACACACACACACACATTCTTTCTCTCTCTTCTTTCGAGGTCTACTGCAAGTGCCTATATTTTTATACAATGGCCAGTTTGGGTCATAGCAAAATATCGATTAAAAAAGTTTTCATGTTTTGGCCCACTGATTTTTTTTTATAGATATTTAAATATGGCCCTTTTAGTGGTTACGTTGAGACCCCTGCTTTAGGCCTCCCTCAATGGTCAGTTTCGGACCACAGTACCACTGCTGGCTTGTGAACTGTTCTGCAAAGTGCACCTAATATGGCAGATGCTTCTGATAAAATGGCCAAAGCATATAAGTACAAGGTAGGTGCACATAATAAACTGACAACTCACTGTATACAAGATCTGATAACTATGTTTGTATAGGAGAAAATTCTTAAAACTACAACAAAAACTACAAAACAGACTGTGAGGATTCAGAAGATCAAGCAGATAAATAATCAAATATCAACACAAAAACAAAGATCAATTGAACTTTTCACCTGTGGGGTCTCCTGTCTGGACCATAAAACCTTTTATGTTTCGATGAAAGATGCATCCACTGTAAAAGCCACTGGCGCACAGTGCAAGAAAATTCTGTGAAAAGAAGAACATGAAGAACACTTCGCGAATTTAGGACGTGTGAAGTACGACATGATCTATTCTCTGCTTATAACTAGGAGTTCAACCCAGGTGAACAGGTAAACTAATATTTCTCACCTCACACGATTTCGGGGCTCGTTCACAGAACAGTTCGATTTTTATGTCGCCAAGGTCCGTATGTAAAGTCACAGCCTACAAAGAGACACTTCATTAACCTTTTCAACTCCTTGAGACCACTGGTGGTTCCAAAACACACTTCGTCACATTCTTCATAACTCTCATATTTCATAAGCTACATTCAAAAGGTGGGTGTCATATGAGAGCTGCAACTTCTTTCCAGTCAAATAGATGGGTAATGTAATTTTAAACCTTTATAATAAAAGAAGCTGAACTGATTTTTTTGTCTACTGAAAGTTGAGCCATTTTTCCACAACTCTGGGCTATAAACCAGAAACAGATGGCGTCTCTTCAGTGATCTGCTCTGTAAAAATTATTTTTTTATAAAATAATACAAAGAGCATCAAAGATTTTTGGCTTTCAGCGGTAAATTGTAAGCATATAGCAATATGTGTATGATCATAAAACACATGCTCTGTTAATTTGAGGGGAGCTTTAAAAAAAATAAATAAACAAAATAAAAATGCACATTTACTTCACGCAGTTACTGAATAATTTGCCTTACGATTTGATCATATAAATTCAGGTGGACAAACCAAAATATAGCCTATAGATAGTCAATAAGAGGTTATGATTAAGGTATTTAGATAATAAACAACTAAGCTCACGCGAAGCTTAAGTCAGGTTCTTATTCGAATCCTCCCGTTCCACCTTAAATGGTGCCGCGGTTCCACAGTGCCTTAGGCGCCAGAATGTAGCTTCTGCATCATTTAAGGTGGAACGGGAGAACTGGAACAAAAAGCTGGCAAATAGGAAGTCAAGCTCGGCCTCGTTAATCCCACTGTGTGTGTAAGAGACATTTAGGCTGTTAAAGTCCAGCAGTACAGAAACACATCAACTAGTTAGCTGCCTTACTATCGTATCCAGCCTAAGGCTCCAATCCTAAACTCAGCTACAGCATGTAAAGTTACTGCTTTACTGACTGAGCAACTAACGACACTGAAATCTGTTCTTACCATAGTAAGGAAGAGTTAAACACGCCGTACTGCACCAGAGCTCACCGTTCACTGCTCAAACGTTAAATGTGGCGATTAATGTCCTACATAAAAATAAACAGGGCGGATATTGTGCGGGTAAAGCATGGTTCCTCTTCGTTTTCGCGAGAGTTTAAAGACGACCAACTCTCATTACCGCCACCGTGTGGTCAAAAACTGATTTACCAATATGAGATGTCCAAAATGCAAATATCAAGAATAGTTGAAACGATATTGCGTTTAATCAGCTAACTGTAAGCAATCACAATATAATGCAATATGATAATAGTGTCAAACTACATAGAGTCAAATGCTACAGATGATCTACTTTCGTGCCTAAATCTACATTTATAATAATCTATATAAATAACGGTTAAGAGACATTGTTAAACCATGTTGTACTTCACTACACCAACCAGCATGAGATTAAATGTACAAAATGCACCTCATTAAAAGGCAGAGTTTCTGGATTAAGCCTAGTCACGGACTACACAGCATTCTGAACACAGATTCCCCATTGAAAGAGTCCAGAAATAGGTTTACCCTGCTGGAAAAAACAAAAAAAAAGCTTTTTATAATGATCTGGTGCTGATTTACTTGGTCACCAAGCATGGTCATGCTGGCTGACCAGCATACCAGCATCCAAAACACAATATATCGCTGTTGTCAGAAGAAAACCTCTTATCTCCATTTTTGACGTTTTTCAGTTTTTGACATAATTTGAAAATACCTGTTGCCTTTCACATTGTATGTAAATTTCATGATGAATGGACAAAAAGAAATGACCTAAAATGACTTGGAAAAAAGTCTGGTTCCATTGACTTACATTAAAAGTTAAGTAGATTTTTTCCTTCTCCTGTAAAGTTCATTTTGGAGATATAAGGTTTTCTTCCGACAACAGCGATATGCTGGTTTGGCTGGTCTCTGCTTTATTTCTCTAGCTAAGTAAACTCTGTCTGCGAAACTGACACAATAGGTCAAAGTAATTATTCAGACACTCCTTCTAATGAAGGATTTCAGTAACTTTACTGACTCAGGCTTTCAACTGCACGCATAGCTTGTATAATCTCCATAGAAAAGCACAGCTAATAGAATGAGACGCTCAGGAGCAGCTGCCCATGATCCTAAAGTCACAATGCCTGAGGCCCAGTAGAGTATAAAGTCCATAAGCACTGGGCTTTGGAGCAGTAGAACTGTGTTATCAGGAGAGATGGAACTCTATCTAGTACAATTAGGATGAGCTGGCATGGTAGTCATCCACATTGGTGCCTAATAAATTAAATAATAATGCTCCAACATGTAGTTTACAGCCTTCACATATTATACGTTGTCTTATATTATTGTTTTTACTGCACTTTCACCAATTATAACGTCATTCAGCAGCTTCATTTATAAACCAACTACAGTTATTAGTAGTGTTGCCTTATTATGCCTTATTACTAAGAAAGAAAATAACTGTGACATTTAATTGATTAACCTTGAGTTTATTGAGATTTAAATTCAGGGAACACCAAAAAATGAACACAAAACATATACCAGGTGGGAAAATAGCTTACGATGGGTATCTAAAGAAACACACACTGCTGACTTACAGAAATGTAATGTCTAACCTTCTAACCAATGCCCTCACAACACTATTCATTTACAGCACTATATGATGCTGTTTTGGCACCAGCCTGAATGACTATTCATGAGTCCCAACAACAACAAAGAAATGAAAAGTTACAGTGTTTCAGGAAATAAAATGCGCCTGAAGGTGCCGTTGGCACATATCAAAAAAAGGAGCTTAAATCAGTCAGGCATTTCTTCAGATTTGGGCCAAAGGCCTGTGTCAAAGTGACTTGAGGTCACAGTGGAAATGCTATTGCTTTTAATCAGAAATCACAATATAATGCAATATGATAATAGTGTCAAGTTACATACAGTCACATGCTACATAATTTACTGTCTAAATCTACAGACCTATAACAGACTATACAAATAATGCTTAATTGACATTATTAAGCCATGTTGTACTTCACTACATCTATGTATGCATATATCAGTGCTAGCGATTAACATACATTGTCTTACATCAAACAAAGAAAAACTAAAGTATCCACAATTACACGAGTAGTCAACAGTAGGTCAACATGTAATGCAATACTGTATAAAATAATCCATTCAGTGTTTAAAAAAATGATTTTAACTGAAATAATAAACATACATCATATAAATAAAAGTAATCAAAAACACTGTATTAGAAAACTCATTGCATGGAAATCCCTTTAAATTAAAGTCATGTTAAAATATTTAAAAATAAAGGTTAATTAATCAATCAGTACAAAGTTGAGTGGCATTTACCTGAGTAAGACTTTATCTTTTTAAAACAAAACAAAAAACAAACAAAAGGTCCAAACTCCATCAACACTGAGGTAACATAATACATGAGCTGTAGATTGGTTATGAAACAGCTTGGTCAGAGTTTGGCCTCTGAAATGGCAAAACTTAAGAGAGCGAACTCTTAGTCAGTGCTAAAAACAAATGTATTTTAACAATATTCTGCATTTAAAATGATGAAAAGCCTCCATCACGCAATACTTCATACAGTGTAGCCCAATGCTTCGTAGAATATATCTCTGATTGTCTTGTCAGCAGTGCATTGTTTTCACACATGGAAATAAACGTATACATTCTGAATGACACTGATGTTAAGTGCAATGTTGTGAGGACAATACAGCCTCAACATGATCTCTGCTAGTTGCTACTTTAGTGGAACATCAAACATTAACATACAGATTGAAAGAAAAGCTGAAACTTTGGTTAAAAAGTAACAAGACAACTTTACAGTAAGTACACTGGTGAACGTAAGGTGCTGCCACAACAAAGTGAACTGATGACCTAAAAGATAAAAGTAGTTTTTGCTTCTTGAAAAACCATGTTTATCTACATGCTTCATATATAGGAAACACTGACATATTGAGGAACTTCCACATTACACTTCAGGAGTATTTTTTAGTGTGCTTCTGTTATTTTTGCATTGTTAAATCAAATGATGTAAACATGCAAGCCCCATCAAAATAACACTTACAGTACATTAGAGTCTCTTTCACAAAAAAAAAGAAAACTCTTAGTGGTTTCAGAATAGAGAGATAAAATGCATAAAACATCAGCAAAGGAATAAATCACAGCATCACAACATGAATAATGCATGTGAAGTGGTGACTGGGCTCTTGCTTTTTTGATGAACAGTGAGTTTCACTGCAGAAACCAAAAATGTTAGTGTATGGAATATACGTATAATGTCCTTCCACAGATCAAAATATATTTTACATATATCACATCTGCTGTCCAACCTGGTGCTCAACTATGGCTGTTCAGCCAATTACAGTGCTAAGAAAGTCAGTTTATATACACACACACACACACACACACACACACACAGACACACAGACACACAGACACACACACGCACACACGCACATACACACACTGCAGGTATCCACATATACCAGCTACTTAATCCTTCCTATGTATTTAAAATGAGTAACATAATCAACAACTCAAATCAGCATCATAATTCCTACTAGGAAAAGTGTACAAATCCTCTAAAATGACAGTGTTTACAAATTGTACAACTGTACAATCATGCACATCACAAAAGAACATTGTTTTCTTAGCTCAGATAAAGCCCTGTTGATCTTCATTAATAATTCAGCAGAGTAAAAGTGTTTTGAAATAAAGTGTTAAGTACTAAAATGTGGAAGTTCAGGCAACCATAAAGTGCTCATGACACATCAGCTCACAAAAACTGTCAATCTGCACACTCGACTCATTCAGAGTATTTTTTTCACCACTGTACAGGATACTGTAATTAAGGCAAAGATGAGTCACACCTCTTCTCAACTCAGAGACCCACAGCACAGGGATCATAGCGCCTTCCAAACAGATTTATTTAATCCCATAAGCAGTCAGCATACTGTGTACTATAAATAATTGTTGCTTGGGGTCCTGGAGAACTACATGTCCTCAGCATTCTTTCATTCATGTCACTAATCTGGGCTGCTCAGCATAGCTCAGCTGCTGCTTTCTCTAACCTGGGAAGGTGCTTTCACATCAGTGTGCCTGGTGGTCTCAAGCTGCCTCTTTGTCAGTTCTCCAAAGCTGTTCTTTAACTTCTGAGGGAAGAGTGTTGAAAATGCTCTCCTCGACGATGAGGCAGCTGCGCTTCAGGAGACGACACTCCCCAAGCTCCACAGGGAGGCCCTCCAGCCGGTTCCCTCTCAGCTCCAGCTGGGTCAGGTTGGTCAGCTCCCCGAAGCGAGAGGGCAGGGACAGCAGGCAGTTGTTACCCAGGTTGAGTGTACGCAGCTTTTTACACTGGAACAACTCAGGAGGAAGTTTCTCAATCTGTAAGGCGGAGGACAAAGAGAGGAGACAAATGGCCTACAGGTTAGGCAATGCCCAATAAATGAACAATGAATAAATTAATGAATATTGTCAGCATCACATCAAACTCTTGTAACACAATCTTGTAAAATCTTTTAATTTTATTTCCTTGCACACCACTGACAATGCCAGCTGCCCTTTACATTGTGTGATCATTTCACAAACATTTTTTTCTTTTTCTGCGGGACAGTACTGTGCAAAAACAAAAGACCACCATTCCATTTAAGCAATTTCCAAGGAACAAGGCCAATATATATATACAAGATATTATTTTTCAGCATTTAGTGTGTCCACCTTTATTACAGCTTTCATTTTTTGGGAGACTTATAGTTTTTCAAATAAATCTACAGGGATATTTTTCATTGTTCAATCAAAGACGTTGCTTGCAATTTTTGTTTTCATGATCTCAGTAATCTCAATCTTAAAATTCAGATTTCTCAGTCCATAAAACCATACTCCACATCTCAGATGTCCTGTTTCAGTGTTCTGTCGCATTTATTTTCCATTGTATATTTCCTTTTATCTGTAATGACCTCCTGACAGCCACGCATCCTTTCTAAACCATACCATTGAGTTGTCTTCCAACAGCAGAAGGACAGCGGAAGGAAGGACTTTTTTCAGATGTGAAGCAAGAATGGACCTTGGTTTATTCTACTATCTCTCAAAAAATCAAAGCTTTAAGTACAGTTTATGGTTACAGTTTTGGTGATCTACAAAGCCTTGAACAGTTCTCAGTCATCTGATTTTCTCTGTCTTTTAATAATTTTTTGCACTCCAGTTTTGGAAACTGTTTTTTTTTCCTCACTTCTTTTCCACTGGCCTTCCACTTTCTCATTCAAGCAGGCTATCTTTTAACTAATCTGATCAAAAATATGTCTTGAAAAATGAATAATGTTTTGAAATTAAATATATGAATAGGGGTCTCCAACTTTTGCCCAGTACTCTGACTTTTTTTTTTTTAGTATGCTATAAAAATCTCAAGTTCAAAACCATAACCAATATTAAACACTATACAATACTACAATGATTCAAGGGTCACCAGAAGACTAATGTGATGGGTGTGTTCATTAAAATATTTGAATGCTGACAAACTCACCCTGTTGGCAGTTATGGCAAAATACTGAAGATTCTGAAGACTTCCGATGTCGGCTGGGATGTTGGTTAGATTGTTATGACTTAAATCAAGATATCTCAGCTTGCGGCAGAAAAAGAGTTGACTTGGTATTTTCTCAATCTTGTTTCGATTCAAGTAGAGGCGCTCCAGGTTGGTCAAAGTGCCTATCTGGATGGGAATGTAGGCAATCTGGTTGTACCAAAGTTTCAGGCAGACGAGTCGATAAAGATGCTGAAAGCTGATGATCTCCTCAATGGTCTTCAGGTTGTTGTCTTTCAGGTCAATCTCCTGCAGGTTGTGGAGACTGAAGATGGAATGGGGGATGCGCTCCAGATCACAGCGAATGAGCTCCAGCTCTGTCAGGTTGACCATTTTCTTCAAGCTATTGAGAACCATCAGCTTGGTGCCCTCGTTATTGATCGACAGCTTCTGTAGATGCATTCCAACATCAGTCACTACCTGAGGCAGCTTAGTCAGGTTGCTCTTTAGCCTAAGAACCTTCAGTCGCTTTAGTTCTCGCAGGCCGTCAATCACAATGTAACGATTGTTCTCAGCGCTCAGGTTCCCTGTAAGGTGTAACTCACTCAGGTTCTTCAAGCTGTAGATCCAAAGAGGTATCTCTTTGATGTCAGTGAATTTTATGTGCAAGGATTTCAGGTTTTCTCTCAGAAATGCCAGAGCTGGCGCTTCTATTTTAGCTGGCGTGTGATACAGCCACATTTCTCTCAGGTTTATGAGCTGGGCAATAATTGGAGGGATGGTGATATCAGGGATAAGCTCCAGCTTGAGGACCTCCAGCTCCAGCAGGTCAAAGACTGTGTCTGGAATGCCACTGAGCATAAAAAGATGCAGCTCTAGCTTATCTTGAGAGTTCTTAGTGATTCTCTGCCGGAGTTTGTCCAGCGTCCACTCGTTGTTGAGGTTAAGCTGACGAAGTTTATTCTCACTAACTTCTGAGAGGAACACTGCAAAGCGCTTAGAGTAGAGGGGATCATACTGGTCAATCATGTGCAACATGAAGGCAAAATCATTTTTCACATCTGGAATGTCACTATAGCTACTCTCTTCTCTGATCGATTCAAATGAATACTTTTTGAGGGAACGCCGCAGCATCCAGCTGAGGGTGTACACACAGATCATCCCATACACAACAACGAGGCTTATATAAAAGCATGCTAATATCTTGAAAAGAGTGGCAAGTGGATGGGCACAATTATACATCTGATAACCAGTAAGATTCTCAATGTCCACACTACAGTCCACACTGAATTGAATGTTGTGGACATAGTAACCAGTGTAACAGATAATGAGGATGAATTTGACTACTTTGATAATAGTCTGTCGGATGTAAAGCCTGTAGACTATATCTCCTTCTTCAACGTGGAGCCTAAATTTCTTAACCTTCTCAAACAAGGCCTTAGCCTGCTCGCCCTCCTTTTTATCCAGCACGCCGGTTTCAGAGTGATCGACAATTCCTTGCTCAAAACGAGATTTTGTTGCAGATAGCATTGGAACGCTCGCCTCTACGTCTTCACTCACATATGATGCCTTTTTATCGATGGAACCGTTCATCTTCCCTAGAGCTTTAGGATCGCTCTCCTCAACCACTGTCTCCGACAGCGCCCGCGTAGTCCATGGTGAGTCAAAACACTTCAAAAGAATGGAGACAAAATGTTCCAGCTTGGAGCTGGTCCAAGGGAACTTGAACCAAAAGTTGCTGCAAGCCAGAAAGATGAGTGTATGCAGCAGCACCAAATATGGGAAATACTTAGCGAACCAGTGGAGCTTGTTTTCATAACACACAGCATCGACATAGTTGTACTGGTGTCTGTCAAGGTCATATTGGATTCCTTGCGGCTCGAAGGCTGGCTCAAAATACTTCTGACAGGTTTTGTTTACTACCCATTTGCAGGGTAGGCAGATCATCTTGTCCTGGGTGACTTGCAAAGTCCCTCCAAATACTGCAATCATCAGCATCACAACAGACAAATAGTCTGTGAATACATCCCACCATGGCTTCAAAATGCGATACGCAGGCTGTGTATCCACAAAGTAGCGCAGCTCAGTGATGGGAATCATGATTCATCTGAAATAAAAAGAACAGCACCTGAGCATTCAAGATCAAATGGTGGGGTAAAAATTCATCATTTAGTAAAATGAACTACAATAATGTCACTACCAAATACAAAATAGTTGAGCGGACTTTACCAGAGGCGAGGACTCTCTGTCCTGGCTTCATTTGTAAGAACAAGTCTCCACCAAGAGAACAATTTGGCTTTCTTGTCAGCTATTATTAGCGGCTTCCGCTAATAACACTCAAGAATTGTCTCTTCTGGCTATGGAAAGAGAGTCCATGACCCCAAAGTTCAAATCCTGTTTGTCTTGGGGAGGGCAGTGTCTCAAGTAGTCTCTCCTCTGTGCACCATTATATGTTACCTAATAGTCCACATGTTCAGTCAGGAATTGGCACTCATCACAGCCCCTGTTTTGTCAGGATGAGGCACAGATTTCCTGTCAAGATAAAGGGACACACCAATGTCAACACCACTGGGCCGTTCAGTTTTACAAAAAGAATATTTTAAAACAACATTAAGCTTACATTCGTGTTTTTGTAACTAATTATGGAAAGACAGAGGCAATTTGTACAACTCTTATTTTTGCATTTACATTAAAATACTGATTCATGCCAGAACTGTCAAGGTAAATTAATCAAAATCTCGCCATCAACGTTACCTGTTGACAAAGAATGAATGACTACGGATAAAACTTAAATGTCTACAGAGCAAGTTTCAATTCAACTACCAGTAAGGGAAATGTCAGGATGTTCAACATACCACCTCAGATCATCCACAACTAACGTAAACTAGCCGCTTTACTAACTAACGTTAGCAACAACCTCCACACTGAAAACAGCTAATGTTTCCAAGCTAGCCAGTCCGAGCGCACAGCACCACACGAAGCTAGCAAGCTAGCCAAACAACTGCCAAACAATAAAAACACTTTCAATTTTTAAATCATATACTTTTTAAAAACACATACATGAAAGCCACAGGGACAGTAAGCGCACCGTTTAACTGTTTATCGGCCGAGGTAACGAGGTCAACAGAAACTGTTAGTTAGCAAGCTTAGTTAGCTCCTTCAGTCTAGGTTATTATGTGACTTCGTTTCTGAACAATAAACGCTTCATTACTACGAAAAAGAAAATAATATCCCGCCGATAAATATGACACGTGCTTACCGCATGTGCTGCTGTCAGTCATGTTCATCATGAGCTCATCTTTCGACGGATCATTTATCCCAGGATAAAGGACCGCTAGTGATGGGAATAAACCCTACCAGAAGCTAACCGCAGCTTTCTTTTCAATGTAGTTCCACCACCAGATCGATAGATGGCACTGTAAACGTGAATTTGCAGGGAAAGCGCCCTAAAGGGAGCTCGCTGGTTGCGGTGTGGTTGATAAATCATTAAAAGCAGTGATATCACATCCCAAACAAAACATTTAGTTAGGTTGGAGGGATGAATTTCTTGCTTAAATGTGATTTTGAGGTATCTAAAATTCCTGCAAAGCTGTCTGACCTCCACAAACAAGCTTGACGGTTTGGAAAAATGTTATTTAACCGCATGTTTCACCACATAATTCTTTACTGTGGAACAACAGGGTTATTACTGTTAATAGAAAATCCACTGGTATGACAACGGATTAACATTTGTATATGATTTATTGAATTCAGACTAACACCTGTTATCATTTGAGGATTTTACCAGAAAGTATAAAATGACCATTTCAAGAAAAGAGTATGACAAAATATGCATAACAGTTCCCATCCCATTACTTAATAAAAGCATGCAGTTTTCTGTGATCGCACCTTCTTTGCCTTTTCTAAGAGTTGTTGGATAAAACATGTGATAATAGAATAGTTTAGTTTTCAAAGAGAAAGTTCTGGGGAACATGATTTGTACATATACATATACATTGTACTGTTCTCTGTCTTGTTATATTTACTTTTCCTGTGCTTAATTGACACTGAATGTATGGAATGCATGATTTTAATATATAAAAATCATATATACCTACATAAGAATCATATAAGAATTTTATACTATTTATTTGTTTCATTTTATTATTTTACCACTTTTTCCTCTCATACATCATTGTAGTTGTGATTTATGATCCACTGACATATACATTTGTAGTGTTGTTCACACCTTCTTACATCTGCAAAATTAAATTAATAGGTAAATATACAAATAAAAAAAAAAAAAATAAAAGTAAGCAAATATAGCGCCCTCCATAGGTATTTTTGCCTCTGTACTCAACAGATTTAAATTTGTACTCAAAGCAATTTACATGTGGTTAACGTGAACATTCACAGATTTCAGTAAAGTGTATTTTTATAAATTTTAGTTTTACCATGTAGAAATTTTTCAGGTGTGTTTAATTACTTCATCAGTGCAGGTATAAGAGAGCTTTCAGCATGTAGTTTTGAAACATCTTATTATCTAACAGTCCAAGGCTAAAGCTACAAAAGAGTTTTTCAAAGCTGCAAACTGGAAAATTCTTGACTGATCTGAATCCCATTAAGCCTTTCATATGCCGTAGAAAACACTTAAGAGGACTAGTCCCTGACAGGAGCTGAAGATGGCTGCAGTACAAGCTTGGCAGAGCCTCACCAAAGAAGACACTCAACACCTGGTAATGTCTACAGTCATGTGAATAAATAAGTATACCCCTGAAATATTTCCAATTTTTAGAAATATGTGGGCACATCATTACTCGATCATCAACTAAAAAGTATGCATAGAAAATATTACATAATAGAACAAAAAACAAAGGAAATCTGACTTTGCAATCATTTATTTAAAAATAAATTAGATGTCTTTTTTTCTGGTGAAAAAGTAAATAAACCCCTGGCACAACTTTATGTAGGTGTTTTCTATAACTGTCTACCAGTTTCTGACATCTAACAGGAGAAATTTTTTGCCCATTCCTTCATGCAGAATTCTTTCAACTGTGCAGTGTTTGAGGGGTTTCTTGAATGTACAGCCTATTTCAAATCCCCCCTACAGCCTTTCAATGAGATTCAGATCTGGGCTATAATTAGGCAATTCAACAACCCTCCATTTCTTAATTTTGAGCCATTCCTTGGTGGGTTTACTTGTATGTTTGGGATCATTATCCTGTTGAAAGGTCCACTTCATCAGCTTCAACTTTTTGGCAGATGGCCTCTCATTTTCCTCAAGCACTCTCTAATATGAAAGACAATTAATAGTCAGTTTTAGGATTCCAAGTTGGCCTGGTCCTGAGGCAGCAAAGCAGACCAAACCATAACATTTCCACCACCATGCTTTACAGCTGGTATGAGGTTCCTTTTATCAAATGCAGGGTTTGGTTTTCACTGAACATTGCTTCTGGTATTGTCGCCAAACAACTCTATCTTTGACTCACCTGTCCATAGCACATTTTTCCAGAGGGCCTAGATATTCATTAGCAAACTTTAGTCTTTCCCCGATTATCTTTTTAAATTGCAAAGGCTTCCTCCTTGTGCACTTCTAATGTAGGTCAAATTTGTGCAGTCTCGTTCTAATGGTAGATGCACGCACTTTGACGTCCACAGTAGCAAGAGCTACCTGCAGATCCTGTGATAAAATATTGGGTTCTTAAAGACTTATTTTAGCATCTTAAGGTCTGCTGTTGGGTTAAATTTGCTGGGATGGCCTGGCCTGGACATGTTGGCAGTGTTTTTACATCTTCCAGACAGTAGACAGACTGATTTCTAATATTTTGGAAGTACTTCTCAAACCCCTTCCTAGACTCTTCCAAGGCATCTACAACTTTCTTTCTGAAGGCCTCAAAGAGCTCTTTTAATCTAGGCATGATGACACAACACACTCCAATAACAAACAGCAAACCAGACCTGATATCTGAAGTGTAAACAAGTTCCTCCAAGATATTCTCTAATGGTATTCTAATCATTATCACATGACTGGGTCAACTTGACACATTTGAAGAAGTGATGTGTGTGTATATATATATATATATATATATATATATATATATATATATATATATATATATATATATATATATATATATATATATATATATATACAGGGGTGTGCTTACTTTTTCCACATAAGGAAACTGCATTTCTGTTAATTCCAATTATATAAAGGTTAACTAAAATGTGAGGTGTCAGTTGTTAAATTACATCACCTTTAATCATCAACACTGTTTAAAAGAAGTGTATGTGTGTATGTCCAAATATACTGAAATAGTCTAAACTGTTCACAGGGCGTACTTACTTCTTCACAGGACTGTGTAAGTCACACAACATCAGATGAAATACTGCCTTCTTGTGGACTGAGAGCAGAAGAACAACTGCTGTTGATGCTGAGAATATAACTTCTCCAAAAAGGCAAAACACACACACACACACACACACACACACACATGACAAACAAATGGATAACTTACAAAGATGTACAATGTTTCTCAAGTAAAAGAAACAACCTGAGTAGAAGTACAAAAGTACCAGGACCAAAAACTAATAGGCTCTGTGTAGAAATGCAGCCAAGCTTCTTAGTACAACTACCATTAATCAGCACATAGGACCTGAAGTTTTTAAATGCTACTATTCTCTTTTTCTTCTCTTTGTCTAAAATAAAAGCACAAACCACCACAGTTTGAGACATGACTAATCATGACAATCACCAATCACAGCAGTAGAGACGCTGACATCAACATAATGATGACCAATATAATGATGAAAACCAAAAAAGAAAAAAATAGCAGGCACATTAATGACTAAAATTTAAAAAAAAAAAGTAAATAACATCCTCATAAATATAAGTGCGGAAAAGTAATTAGTTACTACCCAATTCTGAATATGAGAAGGTTAAAATTTGTATTTAAATATCCTATTAGAAAACACATCTGATTTTCACTGATTAGACAAGCTTGTTTTTTACTTACATTTGCAAACTGTGTATTACTCACTAAGCACTATGGGGACTAAGTGTTCACAAGAAACACATGAACGATTTCCATGTTTTCATGCTTTCATGATTCAGTGCTTAGGCCACCCAGTATGATTACATACAACAAAATCTATTGGAATTTCTCTTTGACTTCTATAGGGTAGGGTACCTCATTCACCCATAGCTCGCAGTCAGGAATGTCAGTTCTGTAGTACTAATTATCTCATAGTTTATGTTATTGCTCTACTGTGTGAAAAACAGTACATATATCTTTGAACGGTATATGAGCACCTCTTTCTTGTTTTCTTGCATCTGATCTAGGATCAGCTCCCCTTTACCAACCTGAACCATCTCAGGAGAAACCGCAAGTCTGATTTCAGTTCAGGAATTCAAGGGCAGCTTCTACCAGCACCTCCATCAGGAGGCAGTGCCAGGCTCAAGCAGGCTCCCATGTGTCACCGTTTACATTTCCCACAGTGGGAGGCTTAAACAAGGACCACTTCATCCAGGAAGACTGTAGGTTATGTCAACACAACCCCTTACTCTACTTGGCCAAGTTCTGCCCTGAGAGGTCCTTCAGACAGCGCTTAATGTAAGTGATGTGAGAGCTGCATACAGTCTAAAACATATACATTTTTTTTTACCATAGATAGTGAATGGAATGAAATAATCCTCCTTTGCAGTAAAATAAAGCTGTGCTGATAATTCTAACACAGTTTTAACAACAAAGGGTCTTAGTTAATGGCGGAGTTAATGCAGCCTATAAGTGCTAATTCACCGACCTTTAACCCTGAAGGTTGGCGCGCAAACTGCTGGTCACCACAGCAACACAGACAAGAAGTCAGCTTCTTGTTCGAATTCTCCCGTTCCACCTTAAATGGTGCAGCAGTTACATCCTGGCGCCATTAAAGGAAAATTCGAAAATGAAGCTGCCGAATGAGAAGCTGACTTCAGCCTCGTAAAAAGTGAACGTTGAGAGACGTACAAGAAACTATACTACTTTTGTGGAAAAGTTTCCTGCCGGAGATGCGAGAAAAGCGATTACAGCTGAGCTAAGTCTTTAAAGCAGAGCAAAGTAAGTCTGCATTTTTGTTTATATTATATTTTTAGCCTATACCACAAGTACATTAGCACATACAGGTGAAATGGACATAGAATGTGGTGGCTCCCAAGGTGGTTTGATTTTTATTGAAAGGACAAAATGGCTCTTCTTAACATTTGGGTTGCGACCCCTGGTCTAAGCATTGGCTTCTATCATCAGGAGGATCAAGTATGATCCCTGATGATGCCACATTGGTGCAATGTCCAAGATAGTCCTCGCTGTCCCCCTATCACCCAGTGCGAGCATTAGCAGCAGTGTGAGAAGATGGAGTGGTGCTTCATGTGTCTCAAGGAAGCGTTCACCCTCCTAGCTAGTAGCATCGTATGATGGGCAGACCTGGCTGGGCAGGTGAAACTGGCAATGTCTCAATGCCCCAAAAAAGGGAAAATTCTATTTCATGAAACGTTCAGTCATTTCCAAAACAACTGTAATTAGATTGAAAATATGTTTTGTATAGCCTGATATAAAACATGTATTTTTAAACTTTGCAGTTGTTTTTGTCATTTTGTTATGTGAAGAAGCTTTAGCAATGGGACCAGTGCTAATGCAATGCTAATGCTAATGCTCAGAGTGGGAACGTCTAGATTAACAGCCATGGACAGTTATACGGCTGTGGCATGTCTTTGTGTTTCCTGTCCAGACAGTGTTATTTCCTGTGCAGACAGAGCAAAGTCTTTTACCGTGACCAGGCTAAAGACATGTAATGGTTCCGTGATTCACATGACAATAAGGGAATGCAACATATGGAAGAAGTGCACAGGCACAGGCCACCTCTCTCTCTCTCTCTCTCTCTCTCTCTCTCTCTCTCTCACTCACTCACTCACTCACTCTCTCACACACACACATACAGGTTTGTTTTTATACAATGTCAAGATGTAAGTTCATATGTATGTATAAACACTTCCATTCAAAAGATTTTATTAATATAAAACCAATTTTGTTGCAGGCATAATTACAAACCGATTCTAATTTGATGCTCCTACTCCACAACATTACACTTTTTAACTGCTTAGTAAAAGCCTTTATTTAAAATACAAAATAAATTCATGAATCAAAAAAAAGAACTTGTAGATGTGTCTAGAATTATGAATGGAGCTGCAGATGGTTTTTATCTAAAAAAGCAAGGTCAAATTTAGCATTCAGAATGCTCTGTGTTCAGAAAATGCAACCAGCTTCTAAGACTGAAGTTTGGGGGTGTAGAGAAATATACATGCAGATTTCTGTGAAAAACCAACAGTGTTTTTTTCCTTTTTTAATAAAAAAAAATAAAATCTTTTGTTAATATTGCTTCACAAATTGAGGACCATTTTGTCAGTCATGTAGGATGTAGGTTAGCCAAGTTTGTTTGATTTGTTTGTTTGACCCAATCAGGACATATTTGTTCTGAAAACGCACAAAGACAGGCATGCGCATGCTCCTTGAAGAGAACGTCAAGCCTGTGGTTAGTTCGATCAGACTGCTGGACACTTGAATCTTTCTAAAGACTCCCTGTTTTCCACCCCAGGTGGCACTTTGTTCACAACATATTCACATCTGTTTCCCTCATAAGTGAAAGAAAATTCTAACAAACAAGAAATCATAAGGTATTTCCAAAGGAAGACTCATCTGTTGTAATTGCATGCTGCATTTCTTCTCTTGTCATCGTATGTTGCTTGTTCACTTGGCTGTATTATTTGGACAGCTCCGCCCCATATAGTGATTGTCATTTATGCTAAACACCTCTCCCCTTTCCCAAGGCAGTCTCACAATGGCGCTTTGCCCTGAATGGACTCCCTATTCCCCAAAGAACCCACAGAGTAAAGACACAGGGAAGTTGGGAAGGGGGAATTAGACGTTTAAAAAATGCACTTTAGGCAATGGTGTACTGTGAATAGAGCTCAACACACTCAGTATAGAGGACTCTAGATTCGCAGAGAGGAAAAGACCGAGAATAAGGTGCACTCTGAGTTCTTCATGTTGAGTGCCCTATTCACAAGCATGTTCTCAACTGTTCAGAGCTGCTCACTGAACAATAACCATTCAGGCCCAGCAGCTAAATTCAAATGTGTTTCATACAGTCGGACTGCACAGTGATCTGAGCAGCAAAATATATTAGGCCGAACAGAGCAGCATGTCAGGATTAACCCAAGACATAGTTTGTTAACGGTTGGGTGGATTTTGGCCTTAAGCACAGAAATAAGTTAAGCGACTTGCAGCAATAAGTGCCTGCTAGAAAGTAATCATATCATACAATGAAACTTTAATGTGCTTTTAATGTAAATTTTAAAAATGTGCTTAAAATGTATTGCATCTTGTGTTAGCAGCATCTGTCTTTACAAAAACATGTTTTGAAAAACAATTATTTAATTCAGGGCTCTTAAAAATAAAGGTTCCCAAGTGGTTCTTGGCTTGGATGTAGGATTCTAAGAAAAACATTTAATTGATAAAAAAACCTTTACATTGTGGAACCTCTTTACAATTTTAAAGGTCCTTCACAAGCACACATCTTATTTAAAAAAATTACTTATTGACCAGTTTGTTCCATGAGTTTTCAACTGTTTTGGAGGTCCCTGATTTACAGGAAGTGAAGTGGATTTTCTTTGTAGGTGAGGAAGCACGTCAATGTTTTTAAATGTGTTTGTATTGTTTGAATGCTATTTATTTATTACAGTTGCACACAACTTTTTGATATCAAAAAAGCTCAGTTTCACAGCAGTGTTTCTCCCCTCCCCTTTCGCCCCTCATTGCTCACTAGCAGCTCAATGCAGAGTCACAACATGGAAACTATTTGATTATATTCATTATAATATCTAAGCCAATTTTCATTCCACCAGTGGAATGGCCACTGCAGAGAGACTACAGTGCCATCTATTGGAAGGGTCTTTAGGGAACCAGAAGCTCTTCTTCACTCTTAAATATGTGGTTCTTCAAGGGTTCTTTTGTAAAGACAATAGTTAGTTATGCATCTGTGATAATTTAAAGAATCAGCTGAATGGATAAATGGTTGTTTGCATGCTTCTCCTCTATGATGGAAAACCTATTGTATATCGTCACTATCCAAAAAAAAAAAAGTATCTCCATTTTTTTTTTCTATGTCATTTGACCAAGCTGTCCTTTACACTGTGTGACAATATCATGATGAATGGACCGATAGAAATGCTCCAGAATTGCCTGGAATAAAATCACTTTACATTAACTTACATTAAAGGTAAAGAATGTTTTGGACCTCTCCTGTAAAGTTACCATTTTGGAAATATGTTTTTTTGGACAGTGCTGATATGTTTTTTTAAAGAACCTTTTAAAATGCTTCCCAAAAAGGGTTCTGCTATTGTTATAGGCTATAGAACCTTACTATATCCTGCTATGTGGTACTGTATACAAATCTCCACTCCAAAGAACTCCTTTTTTGCCACTTTCTTTTAGAGAGGGTTAAATGTAATTTTGTAACTTTATATTAATAATATGTTTTGTCTGAATTTGCAATTTGCAAAGGCATCTTATGTTAGCAGGGAACATCTTTATTTTGTCTTTACAAAATTCACATCTCTCATGCAAAACAGCAATTTGATGGGGGTGAAAATCAAATGATTGCATAATGCATCTTTGATCACTCGCCTTTTGAGTCAGGCGACGCATGTGTAGGGCTAAGACATGCCATGAATGAACAGAGAAGGGGGTTGCATTCCTTTGCCCGGGCTTACCCGACTCAGTCGAGTGGATGTGTGCAACAGGCTGTGTGTGTGTGTGTGTGTGTGTGTGAGGAGGAGGGGGTGAAGTCCGATGGCCAGCCTCACAGCTAATTAGTTCAGCTCTTGACAAAGGTGGGCCAGCCACAGAAGGGAACCCCTGAGGCTAGCTTAACAGCGCTACACACTGCACTCGAAGGGGAGCGGCTCACACTAGTGCTCTCCGAACCAGAGTTGGGGTCCGCAAGGAACGTCGCTCTCCACTCCAGAGCATGAGAGAGGGCTTGGAGACAGAGATAAAGTTACTGAAGGACGTTTTGGAAGACCTTTGGGAGAGATGACTTCCATTCCAGACTCAGATGATGACAGAGCCTTTAAAGACTGTGAGTACAACTAGTTAGTAAATACGGTGTCTGATAACGTGGGGAATACACATAAGAAATGATCATGATGATGTCACCTGCTTCTAAGATGGATAATATAGTCTAAGCAGAAGTCATTTGAACTTAAATGGAATTAAATGGAATATAGAGATTCCATCACATTTTGACCCTAAAACATTAGTTAAGCTGTTCTCAGCATTTAAAAATAATTGTTTGATAACGTACATAAAAATTGTTAAAATTTGAATTGTAAAAATTGACCTTTCACTCCAAGCTGTATATGAAGCAGTCCATACTGGAAACTAAACAGCTCCAGTTCTGAATTTGTTGTTTTTGTATTGTCATGAATTCAGCCTACAGAGGTTTAGCCCCACCCATTAACACTGAAGTTATAAGGAGTGTTTCAGCCCACACTGCTTTTTAAATGATACATGGTACACTCTCAGTAAAAAGGGTGTGAAACTATCACTGGGGCAGTACCCCTCTTGTGACTGGGGTGGTACCCTAAAGGGTACATCTCAGTACCTTAAGTCAGAGAACATAACTGTACCATAATCCATTGAAATGATATTTTCTAAGCTGAATTGACTCCACACACCCCGTCTCTTCTCCAGGCATTTTTATTTTATTGCTCTGTTTTAAAACATTAGGTTATGAAAAGGTACAAATACATAATTTTTAACACAACTGGATCTCAAAACCACTGTTGTGCCCTATAGAGCACATTTAAATTGTTTGTACCTTGATGAATGAAAAATGTTCCTGCACAGTACCTTTATTTCTAACAGTGTATAGGGCAGCCAATCAGAACAGCGATCATTTATGTATATCAATCCGAAAGGCTCTATAACAAAAACAGACTGTTTAGAGAGGTCAGAAAGTTATCACGGTGATTAAACATTCATTCAGCAGTTCTCAGCATTTAAATTTTTCTAACTTATTTTAAAGTTTGATGTATGCACATTTTGTTAAGATTTGAAAATGTACCATTCACTTCACAGTCCATATTGGGAACTAAGCTGCAAAAACAGCCCATTTTGAATTCTTTGTTTTTGAATATGAAGAATTCGCCCATTTAGACTACAGCAGTTTAGCCCCGCCCATTCATATTGAAGTCATAAGGAGTGTTTCAGCTTGGACTGCTTTATTTTTAGATGAAACATGATACAAGGCATCAGAACAGAGGTTATTTATGTATATCTGTCTTAAAAGCACAGCAACAAAAACAGACTACATGGTCATGTAAAAATGGATTTTGGTGAGTCCTTGTGAAGCTCAGGGGAAAAAATATAATAATGTACAATATAGGTCCTTTAAAAGTAAGAAACAACAATGAAATGGTGCTGTTGGAACAAAACCTTGTAACTTTACAGACATTTTTCATTTTAAATGTAAGCCAGTATATAAACATTTTATTCCGAATAATTTTTGATCATCTGTTTGTTGATTTATCATGTCATTTTTTACACCATGTAAAGAGCAGCTGCTGTTTTTTTAGATTATGTAAAGAATAGCACTGAAAATATGAAATACATCTAAATTTTGAACTACTGCACTTCCACATTTAGTTATGACAATTTGTCGTTTTAAATGTCAGATAAAAAATGTATTGATTTCAGCATTTAGCCACTCAGTGTTACACTGTAGACATTCAGAGACTGGGTGGTATCCACTGTGGCTTACTTTCTTCAAATAAACCACAAGTTGGACATTTCTATGTTGTAATAACAACCCTGTGTTCCCATATATTTGGTCCCCTTAGAACAATATATATTGAGTTCCCACTCCCAATATTTTTGCTGACCCTCTATGAGGGGTGGACCTGATTAAAGCAGACTGCACAAACACTTACTGTGGGTATTGAAACCATACCGCAGATTTTGCTATCACTCCCCCTTCTGACACTTGTCTGCCCCACACACTCAGGTCTGTTATAGGCTGAACACCTGCTCATCTGGTTAAATAAGCATTCACTAGTGTTGATGTTGGACAGCACTCAAACTGCTGTTGGTATAAATGAGATGACTGAGCTGGAGGTAAACTTTTCTGCTTTAGCCATGACATCAGCTCTCTGTGGCACACCTTGTGAGCAGCGGAGGGGAGAGGCTAGCAAAGGGCTAAAGAAGTAAAATTACCTTAAATACAGAAAAAATGTGGAAAAATAATATTTATACTTTCATTCTTGTGGGTAGCTCCATTCCACAGCTGTACAGGATATCTATGATGTACAAGGTGTGCATTGTAAAATGATGACAGTAATGCATTGCAAGGCCTACAAACCCTTTGGGGAATCTGTGAAAACAACTCAAACAACTGCAAAAGAGAGAGAGAGAGAGGGAGAGAGACACTCAAAATACATGTAAGAATATTCCTACCAGTCTAGCAGTCAGACACAAAAGCACAGACTGTTTCTTTCTAGATGATATCTCTGCAGGATAGCTGGCTTTATGACAAAAATCTAAATTGGACTTGAACCCCTACATTACACTCGGAGGGCCATTTTAGCGTTGGCGCAAGCTCCAACAGATGAATGCCCTTCACCTTTATCTAAGATCAGTTTTGTGGTTTGTTGTATAACATTAGCATTAGGGTTTAGCGAAGAAACTCTGCTCCCAGATCAGCACAAACTGGCACTGTTTTCCCTCAATGCCGTTTGATGAATGGTTCAGATAGTAGACAGAGAATTCTTTGGCCAGCGACTCAAGTTCAATAAACATGAGGGTTCAAATCCTCGCCTGTAGCCACTAACTCATCTCTGGCACTGATCATCCGACATTATAAGCAGTTAAACGTAAACAGTCTTTATCGGTGTTAGCCATCAGTGAGGTGAATGTCAAACACCAGCAGACAGGCTTCTTGTAGAGGTCCACTGAATGAATAAAAGGTGAATTAATGATCAACGCTTGTGGGAGATATTTGGGTTGTTTTCTCAGATTAAGTGTGGTTGTGGACTAATGTGCAGGTTGAATCTTCTCTGAAGACTAAATGAGAATTCCTTTCTAGTTTGGGACAAGTTAATCAGGATCACCTTGAGATTGATGCCACCTTTACTGTGATCCAAAAATAGTGTGTGTATTATCAAGGGCTTTTGTTGGGGCTTTCAGTCTTAAATAATGTGGCACTACAAACCCACATTGGTCACCTATAATACTTGCTGACTTTCAGAAACCTATGTTGGTACATCAGGTATACCTCTAAACTAATCATATAAATAGAACTGATTCTACTACCACTAATATTACTACTCATTCTACTACTACGACACTTTAATAATAATACATTTTATTTATAGAACTCATTTTGAAACAAGTTTACAAAGGGCTTTACTAAAAGATTAAAAGTAGGCTGAGATACTAACAATGGAAAAAAAAAATTCCAAACCAAAAATACAATTCTAGCACCTAGTGCATGGACCCCTAAAATTACTGCTATAAAAAGATTAAGATTAAGCAATGGAAAGATTATTAATTATTGAGTGTCAATCATACTTGTTTTCAAGTAGAGTTTTCTAGAGCTTAACTACGATAGTAAATGAAGCTGATTCCCTCTTGTTCAGCAATTGGAGGTTCTGAGTGATCTAGCTATTTCAAGCAATTGCTTTGCTAAAGTGTAATAGATCAAGATAATGATGACTTTTAAAACATAGTAAAAGAGTCTTAAAATCAATTCTAGTATATATGGGGTAGCCGGTTAAAGGATATATATATCATGGAAAACAGGAAAAAAGACTTTGATGTAGTGCAAACATTCCTAGTTCCAAAACATGCCCTTCACTCCCCACACATTTACCTTTTTCCACCTATACAGCCTACAGCAGTTGAGCCCCACCAATTCACATTGAAGTTATAAGGAGTGTTTCTACTTGTATATATCAGTCTTAACGGCAAAGTAACAAAAATAGTTTTATTCTAACTGATTAGAAACTAAATTGGAAAATTGTTATGTGAAAATGTTTCTGGTGCATAAAAACCACACCACCGTCTTTAGTAGACCGCAGAGGAATAAGTGAATTACAAGAAAAACGTAGGATATAGGTCCTTTAAGGGTCAGTGTTATATGAAAGCTCATTGTAGTGTGTAGGATCGTAGCAGCATCAGATTAAAGTCACACAAGTAAGCATGCAACTACTTGTTTTGTTGTAACTGAATGTTTTACTTGTCTGTGTTGTCAGTGAATGTTGTTGGGATGCTGCATCAGTTTTGGGAGCAGAAGCAAGTGAAAGGAGCTATGGTGGAGACAGAGAACCTTGTGGTGTATGAATCTATCCCCTCACCTGGACCTCCATTCATCTGCTATGTCACTTTACCAGGGGGGAGCTGCTTTGGCAACTTCAAGGTAAGTGAACCAAATTCTACCACCCAAGGTGCAGCAAGAGTGATGGCATGGGTCAGTGCTTTTAGGTTAAACCAGTCTATATTTCTGTGTCAGCACGCATCAGACTTGAGGGACGTTAGACTCCAATCCATCCTCTGGAGACAATTCCGGCCTTGTTGGGTCAGTAAGGGTATAAAGGGCACGTCTCAGTGTGGTCTAGCGTCTCCGCTCAATCAGTCCCATCAGCACTATCCCCCCGGCGCAGGAGAAGAGGCTCTTGTGTGAAAGTCAGAAGGCCTAACAGGTGGTTCTTATTAGCCCAATTACTCCAACTCACCGCAAATCAGGCTGAAGAGTTTGCTTTCAGCCCAAGTGGAATGTTCTCGAGAACACAGTCTGCACAAAACCTGGAAAAAAGTAGTAACCGCTTCAGTTTATTTATTCATTTGTCAGTTTGAAAGAGCCCTTTGCATATGAAGGAGAGCAGATAACATTATTCAGGATAGACTTTTAGCATTTTATGATTAATTCATCATTTCCCCTTTGGAGTAGCTACGGATTTGGGCTCGTCCAAATAAACCTGACGATCATATGTGTTTATTGGGCATTTTTCATGGAGGCCAACAGACACTCAAAAGTTATAAAAACTGGTGTTAATAAAAAGCAATAAACACTTAGAAGTAATATGTGAAACAGAGCTGTCTGCCTTCACCCTCCTACATCTCCCACAGGCATATATACAATGAAATGTAAAGGGAAACCCTGATGGTTTGGTCTTAAAACAGTCCTTAAAACAGTTTACATATCCAATACTATTAAAATATGATGTATGAACTAAATGGATATATTTTGTTCATTATAAAAAGGCATGACAAATAGGCAACATCCCTCTGCTAGCAGGTTGCCTTTGTCAAACTGTGATGATGTCATGTAATTGCACTGGGCTCAGTTCTGCAGAAAATAATACAATCGAAAATGTTTTTCTCTTGGGTAATGCCACGCTCTAGATAGAGTTGGAAAAGCTGATGAATATATTTGAGTTAAATGAGACATTTAACTTGCTCTTCCTCACTATAGCAGCAAGAAAGAGAGCAGCCATTTGATGCTGCAACAAAAATAGCAACCAACAAGTAAAGGGATGTAGTCTGTTTTTATTAATAAACTTATACAACTTATTTGAATAGCATTGGACATGTACGATATATTGAGGCTCACGTTTCCTTTAATTATAATTCGTCACTTGTAGCTCACTGAAAAAAGTGATTGTAAACTTTCTATTAATACCATATTTGTGTTTGGAAGTTGAATATGAGATATAATTTATACAACTTTTGAATGGGATGTAATGTTATGTTGGATGTAATCTTGTTTTAATTTTTCTTGACTAGGGTTAAATGGCATATATCATGGAAAACTGAATTGAAATCTTACATATTTTGAAATAAAAAAGTTTCAAAATATACCATTCACTCCTCAGTCCATCCAGTCCTTAAGTAGCCATTAACGTCCATTTTGAATGATTTAAGCAGTTAAGTCCCCCCGTTAATGAAGTTATGAGGAGTGTTTTTCGAAGAAGGCACAAAACAGAACAGCCAATCAGGACAGACATTGATTATTTACCTCGAAAATTGTCACAAACATTACAAGTGGAAGGAGAACTAAAGAAAAATGTGGGATATGGATATCTCATTCATTTAATGTGATACAAACTGCGTGTTTGAATAATCCAGAATGCCTTGCTGTGGTGCTCGGTAACCATAGTTCCGCTGCTATTTGGAGGAGCATTCAGGGCCAGCTGCTGCCCTTTGGAGGGACTGAGGCACACCAGGGAGTTAGCTACTGCTGCCTGAATAGCTATCCATGCCTTTGATCAGCCTGTGGGCACCGGAGGCTTACACCCCGCCTGGCCTGCGAGGGCGTCCATTCTGTGGACTCCTTTCATGCTCTCAGTGCTGCACTGACTCCACGGAGAAGCATTTCTTGGCCTTTTCCCTTTGGATCAAAGTCACACCGCCACATTAAGCCTTAATAATTCCTCATCTCCTCTCTCATATGTTTTGGCTACCTCACTTTCTCTCTCTCTCTATCTCTCTCATTCTCTCTTTCACTTTTTTTTTTTTACACATTCTTCATTCAGCTTTAGTCCTGTGTGGCCTTTGCGTAGGGCTGGTGTGGCTCATAGTTTTTTTTCAGCATCACTGGTAAGCCAATGCCTGATCTCGGCTCAGTAAGCCTCCCAGCTGCCTGTGATCGCTCTGGAGTGCACAGCCATAATCGGGTTCATAATCCTGTGATGGGGTTGGCATGTGCCTACGTGCTTAACACATGCGTTTTGAGGCGTTATGGAACTTTAAGTTCAATCAAGGATGTTTATGTTACTTGGAGAAGCTCACATATGATGTAGACACGGTTCCTAAATAGTTCCTATTATCATATTTCAAAAATGTAATGATCCAAGAAATTCTCTCTCTCAATCTCTCAGTCTCTCTCTCTTTGGGTGATCCACTAGTAGTGCGTGCATTCATCAGGAGCCTTTGTTTGGGTCCTCAGTCTTGAGTTATATTGCCTATGGTGCTCCAGAAACCCACTTTTTTCACCTATAAGACTTGCTGACTTTCAGAAATTCGTGCTGGTAAATCATGCTGCTTTTATCTCTAAACACTACCTAATAAATAATAACAATCTCTCTCTCGTTCGTGTTCTTCAGTACTGTTATACCAAGGCAGAGGCCAGGCGGGATGCAGCCCGTGTTGCTCTGATGAACTCTACATTCAATGAGTTGCCCTGTCGCCGCATCACCCCAGAGTTCATCGCTCGCAGCGTAGAGGAAGCCATCATTACTACCAGCGTGAGTCTACCAGCACTAGACCTTTCATTTTAAAAGGGAATTTGAATTGATTTTTGCATGATTAAGCGATTAAGATGTAAACAGAGGGGTTTGACGCGAAATGCTCCATTCCAGAGGTCTGAATTGTTTACAACAGTAGTGATGGCAACCAGACAGTGTTTGATTGTCTGGTTTTATATATATATAAATATATAAAAAAAAACAAGTATCAAGCAACTTTTGTATATAAATATAAAATAACATTATATGTTATTTTATATTTATATACAAAAGTTGCTTGATACTTGTTTTTTTTTAGACGGCTACGATAAATTTTTAAAATATATTTGTGAGGGACAGATCTGGATTTTATACTGTAATAGGCTAATTAAAGTTAAAATTAAAAACTTGTTTTTCTTGGCACTAATGGTGGTAAACATGAAAGGGGAGTGCCTCCTCATCAAATTTAAGACCAATAAATAAACACCCATGTGTAAAATCTGATACACTTTTCATTGAAATCAAAGTCAAACCAAATTAAAAATATACAATGTCACAAAATCCAAACATTAATTTTATCAAACAAACAGTGTGAAAACAGCCTAGATACACACTATATGGCTATTCATGTTTATGCATACATTCTTCACTTAGTCCACATCAAGGAGCACTACAGGAAGCCTAATGATTCTTTGACTTTGTTCCAAAACATACAAAACACACCACAAAGATGTCCTGTCTTTTCCAGCCCCCAATGAACTCCTCAGCTCCACTTGAGGCTAGCCAAGCCTGTCTGTGGGAGTCACTATGTGTGTGTGGTCTCTCTTCACTTTCCTGCCATTTCTCATGTTTGGTCTTAGCCTTTTGTTCCCCGGCAACGATTACAACTTGCTCTGATGACAAAGCAAAAGGGCAGTAGCAGGACCCTGCCCTCCCCCTGCATTTGTGTCTCCTTCAGGCGGAGTGATTGCCGGCCTGTAATCACTCTGATTCCCTCTGGTTTTCAGGGCAACATGGAGGATGCCTCAGACCCTGGCACCAGTATAGGAGCTTACTGCCTCATGCTGCAGTCCAACACTGGTAAAACCATGCTGGAGTTTCAGGTGTGAAGAAAAATACTATATAGCACATTTGCACTTACTTCTATATCTTTTGCAAAAACTTAAAAAATGTGGAAACAACAGAAGCCAAACTGATACAAAGTACCCTATTTATAACCTTAAAATCAAGAGATCCTTTAAAGCAGGAGTGCACAACTCCGGTCCTGGAGGGCCGGTGTCCAGAACAGTTTAGAGGTTTCCCTGCTCAAACACACCCACTAAACCTGGCAATTAGCAGATAAGTGTAATCAGGTGTGTTGAACCAAAATCTTACCTGATCTGATTTTTCAGAGCTGTGTGAACACTTAAATCAAATCTTTTCAAATCAGATTTGAGCCACTTTCGTATGTGATACTAGATAGTATTCATATCTGATTCAGGGCCATGTGACCGTAATGAGAACGGAATTTATGTTTCTTTTTCCATTGCTCGTGTATATTACTGTCAAAATCCAGAGTGAAGTAATTTTATTTTTTTGTTTGTGCATATGTGGATATTTCAGGGCATAGGCCTGTTCACATTAAAGACACATATGGGTCACTTGTAGGCACAAATTGAATGTCAAAGCCTAAAGATCAGATCTGAGCAAAAAATCGAAATTGAGCACTGAAGCTTGTAATGTGAATGTGGCCAACTTGATTAATTAAAGAATTGCAGAGTTTGTGAACAATTTTAATGCAGATTTTTTTTGTTTTGTTTGTTACAACCAGTGAAAATGTGACAATGGTTTGAAAGATATGGGTTTGAAAGACATTGGGATGAAAGACATTGATTTGAAATGGTCTTACAATGGTAGAATATGACGCTAGATTCTTTGCTTCTACAGTTAAGCTTATGAAAACATAAGGATGTTGAAGCTACTCAATGTTGGCAGTAGTCCCCCTTGAAAATATAATTCTTTTCTAGAGTTTCATCTAAGGCTAAGTGAGGGGTAGACAGCAATATTTTCTTTACTTAAAGCAGAATGCCTGCACATGAATGCTTTCCAAAACAAACATTTCATTCTTACCCAAAAACAACGCATGTCATGACCCGTTTGGACATTTTACATGCTCTACCCTTCTGTTGAAAAATAATGGAGTTCTATGTATTCCGAACCTCTCACAGCATCTGCAGTCTTCATTATGAAATCGATTTGAGGTTAAGAATAACATGACATTGGTTTATGTATAACTATAGTTAACTATAGAGAGCCACATAAGCATGAAGACTCGTTATGCATCAGGGTGATGAAGTTTCAAAGTTTGTACATCTGTGTTTGATTAAACCCATTAGCTCAATGGCTTGGCCACCAGCAAGACATAATGACTTAAGAAAAAAACAAAAACTTTCTCTTTTTATTTTTCTTTAAGGAAATAATGACAGTGTTTCAGCTATTGCACTGGAATGGGACACTGAAGGCTTTTAGAGAGAGGAGATGCAGCCGCCAGGTAGGCCTCACTCAACAACTACAGCCTAATGTAGTTTTGTTTAATGTAAACAAGTCTGCCTCTACACATTAACCCACGTTAACACATCCTCTACAGAGAACACACTTCTGCACATTTAACACACAATTACTGTTTATTTGCTAAATTTAACAAATTCAGAAAAAATGAATGTAAAATGTGGGTCCTTTCTGTGTGGAGTTTGCATGTTCTCCCCATGTCTGCGTGGGTTTCCTCCGAGTGCTCCAGTGTCCTCCCACAGATCATAGACATGCACTCAGGCGAATTGACAATTAGAGATACTAAATTGGCTGTAGGTGTGAGTGTGTATGTCTGTGTGTCTGCCCTGAGATAGACTGGCGATCTGTCCAGGGTGTTTCCTGCCTGGGTTAGGCCCCTGCACCCCCGCAACCCAGAAGGATAAGCGGCTTAGAAAGTGTGTGTGTTTTATATGCAGTATTTAAGTGTGTTCCCTGAGGGGACGTGTACTTATTTTGCTGAAAATCAACAAACATGCCATTTGACCAGGGACACTCAAACTTCTATACACACTGCCACACTGTTCCTTATCCTTTTAGTTTTTTCTGCTGCACAGCTTCCTCTGAAAGTAGGCAGCAGAGATTTGACAATGAGCAAAATTCTGAATTCAATTCCAAATGAGTCAGAGTGGTGTCTCAATTCAATACAGAAAATAAGGAGTGGCAGAAAGTATGCCTTGTGAATGTTTTGATTTTCAATTTATTAGAGATAGTCATGATAAAACACTTCAGTACAACACAATATGATATACTGTGATATAATTCAATACAATACAATACAATACGTTGTTATGTCCCTAATAGGCAGTGGTTCACAGGTATAAATATAGCCAGAATACTTGTGCTCTTACTTCAATAATATTTATTTGTACTCTTACTCAAGCACAGAAGTATTGTACTTTGTCCACCTCTGCCAGGTTTAGTAGGGAAATTGCCAAACCGTCCTGACTCTCTAGGATAAGAATTGATGACCCCTGTCCTACACTGCCAGATATCACAAAAGCAAATCTGAAACAACTTGATGCAGTTTGAGGCAAACGAGTAATGAATTAGCAGTTTGCACAATGTTAACCTGGCAGCCTTAAGCTTCCATTACTTGTTAGCCTTAAGCTACATTAGCCTTGTAGCTCTGGAACAAAATTAAACAAGCAAACCTTTGGACACCAAACATGTCTTGGTTGATCAATTGTGTAGATTTGATTTTGGGCTGAATCATCGCAAAACACAATTGTCATCTCAGTGCCAACAAACTGGGAAAGGTCAGGCAGCGCTGGACATACATCCTCACTGTGACCACTGTCCATTTCTGCCAAACAGGAGGTGATCAGCTACTACTCGCAGCAGCGGCTGGACGAGTGCATGCGGAGTCACATGGCGCTGGACTGGCTACAGAGGGAGAGACAGAGGCCCGGGCTTCTGTCCCATGAGCTGCAGCTGGCCCTCAGGGAGCTGGCCGAGGCGCGACAGGCTGGCCGCGAGCTCCGCTTCTACAAGGAGAAGAAGGAGATCCTGAGTCTGGCTCTGAGTCAGGCTAGCGCAGAGGAGCTGGAGGAGGAGGCCTGGAGGGGGCAGGAGACTGGGCTGGAGTACCTGACCCATGGAGGCCACTGTATCGAGGGCAGCATGGTGGACCCTTCAGAACACTGTCAGTTTTATTACCAGGAGAGTGGTAGCGACCAAGAATCACTGGGCTGAGGTGAAGTGTATTTGGTGAGGTCTTGGACTTTGGACTCACTTTCAAAATGAGCTGCCTTTATTTTGTATATTTTGACTTAATGTTGTTTTTTAATTGCTTTCTCAGTATACTGTGATGTTTGTGCTCAAATGGGCTCCACTGTAAATCAGATGTATTCCATAGTAAATAGCCTAAATAGTGCATTTAGGGACTTTGGGAATGTAATGGAATGTAAGCTTCATTTTTCCCTTTTGTTTTCTTGCTGTGTATTGAACAAAGAGCATTTTGATTCGCTTTGACTTAAAGGGAATTTGATGTTGGTTGTGAAGAGTAAATGTAAATAAATGCTGTTTTTCTTGTACTAGCCACATGGTGGCGCCATATCCTATGAATGCTCCCAAATGTTACAGTATCTGCTATTGCACCCCCAAAATTTGAAATGCTTCCCCCCATTGAGCTTTATGAAGAGGAAATGTTATAAAGTTCCATGTGTTTGAATATTTAGGGCACTTTTATTCATTACCTACCTATCTTTTCATCCATCTTAGGAGTGCCTTAAATCCTTAAAATGTATACTTAATGTATCCTATATACATTTCACAGCAGCAGCTAGAACATTTAGGGCTGTACAGCCTGAATTCGTCTAAAATTTCAGATTTTGCAGAGTTTTATGGTCAGTAAAACAAACAAACTAACACAATGAACTACATTGTAACTGGGAGCAGCCCGCATGAATATTTAAATACAGTGACCTTGATGCCAGCTTGTTTCTTGCAGTGTCTTATTTTTGAAACAAGCAGTAGAAGTAGTGTACAGTAACTTGATCTCTGAGTACTGAAGTATGTGGTAGCTGAGGATAAGCAGAACTATAAATTAGTCATGATATACAGTGGTTTGTTCTGTTTACTTAAAGCAGGATGCCTGGCACTGTTAATTGTCTGTTTTGAACTGTATGTGGTATTTAGGTTTTTTATTAACTCTAAAAGAGGTGGGATTTTGTCACTGTAGATTAAAACATGTATGTGCATGTTGTTTGTAACTGTACCTCATGTTTCTCAACAATATCTACACATATTACATGCATATATGCATTTTTTTTTTACCCATTATCATTTGCTGGGTTTATTACAGAGAGATGAGAAAAAGGAGGAAGTCATTAGAGTAAGATTCTCCAATTCTTTCACTCCTTGAGCAATCGCACAAAAAACTAGGCCATAATAGATCTTGTTTTTTCCTCAACTTTTTTTTTTCTCCCTTACTGTGGTTGCTAGGAGACTGTTGAACCTAAGGCAAGAAATCATGAGCTACAGCAGGGATGGGCATGTGTCCTCCGATGCTGTAAGTGGGAATTGATAATGTTATATAAGATGCTAATTTACTTCTGTTCTATTCCATTTCTGATTGAACTGAGCTTGAAGTTTTCTTTCTTTCCTAGTTAGAATCTTGAAAAGTGCATGAGCAGCATGGTGTGGTGTGTGCATGGTAAAGGTGGCCCTGCCACCCCACACAGCCTGCCCACTCACCACCCGTTTCGGCCAGTCGAATAGCCCACTCATCCGTGGATCGCAAACACTTCCAGCCTATAACTGCCTCGTTATCATTCGCCCTGAATCACTTATGCATAATGCATGATTTTGCATAAATTAATCAAATTACACAACAAGCCAGCTTCCGTTCCGTTCGCTCATCTCACACAGTCGTCCGTGCCCAGTTGCTGCCTGTTTTGCCACTTTCTAGGAGGAACGACGTGTCAAATTGAATAGTTATAGAGGTACAGACAGGAAAAGTGGTGAGATAATAGCATATTTGGCTCTGTTTTCAAGAGAACATGGTCTCCCCTCTCCAGGGAAGGAGAGTAATTTTCCAGAGCTAATGCTTGTCAGAGGCCTGATGGGCCAGACTTTGTGATGTTACTGCCTTTCTTCAATTTACTGGGCTAAAACCCATTTGAAATCAAATAGCGTGACATTCCATCCTTTCTGATTTTCGGCTCAGGGCAATGAGATGCAAATTACACAGTCCTGTTCTAACACTGATTGGGAGGAGGAAGAGACTCCCAATTTCGGGCTGAGTTATTCCGGACCATGTCTGTGTGAAGCTGATCAAATGGGAGTGAAATCATATTTTCATTTCGGATATTGAACAAATGGACAGATGGGCAGGAGAATAGACTAATCAGGTCCTTTTTGAGGGCATATTGGAAATTCCTGGTGCTGATGAAAACCTTATGTCCCTAAGACACTTCTCTCTTTAAGCCCCTGATAAAAAAAAAGTATGTTACACTCTGAAAAATAAAGTTTTTTGGGGGCGATGCCATTGATGAAACCACTTTTGATTCTCTAAAAAACGTTCAGTAGATGTAACTTGAAAGGCCATACCATACCAAGTGCATACCATCCCAAAAAAGATCAAATGTTTGGGAGACTCTACACTTATACTGTTCTCAGATGTTCTCTGTTCACGTTGTTCTAGAATGTTCATCTATATTCATACCCATTCATTTGGTTTAACAGTCCTAAAACAACTGTCAACATTGGAACACTGGTGTTTTTGGGTAGGTGTGCTTTGACCTTAAAGGGACATTTTTTCCACATCTGTTGTAAACATGCTTATTTGCATTCTACAGGAATGGCATGGTAGTCTCTAGAGCCGTGGTCACCAACGCTGATCCTGGAGATTGACTTCCTTGCAGAGTTTAGTTCCAACCTACATCTGTATCCAACATGCTGCTCCCCCATACCTAACACTAATGCATCTGATCCAGCCAATCAAGTACTGAAGAAAGCTAATTAGCTGGAGCAGGTGGGGATGATTGTGGTTGGAACTACACTCCACAGGAAGGTGGATCTCCTGGTCTAGGGTTGGTGACTATTGCTCTAAAGTGAGATATTCCAGTTGTAGGATTTGTGCTGATGATATATTGTGAAAGTAAGAAGAACTTTGGAAAAACTACAACAGCTTTGAGGTGGATTAGGTAGCACTACAGCTAGAAAGCTGAATGTTGTCATTTGTCTTTACGATTTTGTTTCATGACCAAGGTAGGAGTTATGCTAATACTATCTTGTTTGTATTTATTAGCTCACAGCTCAGTGGCTAGACTAGCGGTCAGGACTGGTTTACACCACAGAGATTTCCAATAGTTGTATGTATTTGCATAATGCAGGCTGGATATTGTAGTAAGAGAACACTGACATAATTATGACACAAAAATCATTAATTCACTCAAATCTGCTGCAGAATACTGCATAACAATCAAACAGTGTGAAAGTAAATGAACACGAAAGAATTACCACATAATATAAAAGTTCTATATATATAAGTGCATGTTCAAGCAAAGAACCATTTAGGAACTTTTATTTTTAAGAATGAAAGAAAACTCATTTTTTCCATTGTTAGCTCTGAGCACGATCGACTTGCTACCTTGGATGCTACTGTTTTGTTGGCTTGGTTTATTCTCACCCCAGTTTTAGTTTTAACCTGCACTGGATTAGGTTGTGTCAATTATCCTTGGCCACCTTCCTTGCGACAAGTATCCACTCCAGGTTGATTGAAAGATGAGGGACAAGGTCAGGGAGTGAAAAGCGCTTCGCTCACACTTCACCTACGAGAGCGCAGGACACCTTTTCATTTCCCCTCGCAATCCCTTTCTAATAGCCATCTCGCCCACACTGCGATCCTTTCGCTGGTTGATGCCAAAACGCAGTGACATGCCAGAGAAAGCCTGCAGTGCTGTCAGGTCTGACAACTCTAGGGGAACTCAGGGTGAATCTGAGAACAAAAGACAGTGTTCTGTCCTACTCAATGAAAAGAGAGAGAGGCAGACAGAGAGAGAGAGAGAGAGAGAGAGAGAGAGAGAGAAAGATCTCAGCTTCCGCAGTCATAATTTTGCATCTTGTTAACCTTGTGTGGGCCCTCCTGTCAAAGCGTGTGTGCAGCGTTATGATGGCTGAGCGGGGGCCCAGCGTGAGGGCCATGTGGCCGCACTTCCTCTAACACCCTCCCACCACTCTCCCCCTTCTTCTCTTCACACATGAAGGACATCTCACCCTTCTACTCTCATCTTTCTCTCCTTTCTCTCCTTTCTTTCTTTCTTTCCCTTCACACTGTTTTCTGATTAAGCTGACAGCATGGCCATCTCTCATGCGCCAGCTTTGATGAGCTGGACTTCATCATGTAGCTCGAGGCCACAAAATGAAGCAAATAACATTTGAAATTGTCTCTGCTTGTCTTGGTTTGCCTTGTTATGCGTAGATTTGTGATCAAACATGTCAGTCTGTCGCAGGACGGAGTGATGTTTCTGGAAAAGTGACACCACACCAAGAGAACAATTTGATATGAATGATGTCCAACGGACAAAACAGTGCAGCGGTAAACTGCTGTGTTGCTGTGTGGTGTATGTGCTTGTGCGTATCTTCAGGAAAGCAAAAAAAAAAAAAAAGGAAAGAAAGAGGCAGATGGAACTGTCAAATTGTCCTCTATGCATAGCTGAGCTCCTGAAGCCTCATCCACTCTACTGCTGAAGTCTGCACAACAAAACCCTCCAACATAGTGCCATCCACTCCGCATAACTAACTCAAGAACAGCTCTGACATAGAAACCCAGCAGGAGCCTCACTCACTCTCTTATTTACTGCTCCTCACTGTCAACCATGCAAAGAGAATTGGTTTAGAAGTAAACCGTTCAAGAAAACACCGTGGATAGAGATGAACGTTAAATTAAAGTTAAATTGTAGGCTGAAGACTTGCTTTTATAATTGCAGGACCTGCTCAAATGAAGTCTTAATTTTAAGCTCACATTCTCCTAGTGGTCTTTAATCAAACATTTTAGTAGAAAAGTCCCCTTGAATCCCCTCTTGGCTTATCACTAACGCTGTGCGGTACTCTCCAAGGGCAATGTGTTTCATCAGGAATAAATTGGTAAACTTCCATTCTGCCTGGTGTGTTCTCACCTCCTCTATTTCTAATGAATTAAACGTGTTCTTGTATGCCTCCGAGGCCAGCACTCCAATCAATTTGCTTTATTTACCAAGTAATTGCGAGTGACTGCACCTAACTGCATTACTGTATTAGAGCATAACTTGAATGAGATGTAATACATCCAGAGCAAACACTGAATACTGATGATCAGGGTTCAAGTTTTGGGTCAGACACTGAAAAGCTAGTGAAAAACTGCTTTTCAGAAAAAAGGGTACTGTACAAGTACATTTTTATAAACCAAAGTACAAACAATGTTAATGTAACCTCAAAGGTTCAGCATGTCCTTGAGGTTGGATTGTGTGCCTTAAATAAGTTTTAAAGGTGCACTCTATTCACTTTCCCAGAGGAAAGAATAATATTTATACATTTTCAAACATTTTTTTCCTATTAAAAGAATAAAATAAATCACTGGGATTGAAGACAGGGCATAGTGTAATTATGTTCCCTAACTAAAGGTACTGAAGATGTTCCATCGAGGTTACGACCCCAGTGACAGTGTTTGTACCCTGAAAGGTACCGTTGTTCCTAAGAGTGCATAATGGAATTTTAAACTATTTTAAACGTTGTTGTCTAAATCTAGATA